AATAGTAATTAGAAATTATCCTGCGGGCCGAAATTAAATCCACCAAGGGCCGGATTTGGCCCCCGGGCCTTGAGTTTGACACATGTGAGTTAATGGATGGTTGAATGGGTCAACTAGAAAAACTGCTTAAACTTGTGGATTTGTTCCCCTTAAATGTAGGATTTGACCCTTACACTTACACTTACACACAGATAGAGCACATTTGAAGGCAGCAAATGAATCAGAAGTAGAAACATTGAAGCTCGGCCCGTCCATCTGCTGCTCGGACGGACAGCATCAGCCTTCATAAGCCCAATGTAAAACAAAGGAACAAGATGATACAGCCATTGTGAGAGAAGATCATAAAAAGGCAGAGTTTAAGAGGTGTGTGTGTGTGTGTGTGTGTGTGTGTGTGTGTGTGTGTGTGTGTGTGTGTGTGTGTGTGTGTGTGTGTGTGTGTGTGTGTGTGTGTGTGTGTGTGTGTGTGTGTGTGTGTGTGTGTGTGTGTGTGTGTGTGTGTGTGTGTGTGTGTGTGTGTGTGTGTGTGTGTGTGTGTGTGTGTGTGTGTGTGAGCTGGGGGGGATAATTAGGGGGAGGAGGGAGGAAGCTGTGGAGGTCTCATTGTACGCAGCGGATGAATAGTGGGATTCAGAGGGTGGTGGGAGGAGGCCCGAGCACAATAGTGAAAGTGAGGGTTTGTGTTTCCTCTCTTCCCTCGGCCCAGGATCCTTCTGCCCTCGCTCTGCTGTTGCCGCGGCAACCCAAAATCATGGGTCTGCTGCCAGGGTCACATGGTGTATCCTGTGTTTCCATTACAACTAAATAATTATACGTCTCCTGCCCTCACTGTGAAATGAATGAAGGTGGGCACAGCTTAGTGAGTTAAACACACTTCAAGTCAAAGTCCTGCATTCAAAAGGCTACTTAAAGTGACATATTCATTTTCAGGTTAATATCAGCATGGAGTGTCTCTACTTTAAAGAGTCCTCTCCTGCTGATGTTCAGGTGTATATCAGTATGTAGTGTCTCTACTTTAAAGAGTCCTCTCCTGCTGATGTTCAGGTGTATATCAGTATGTAGTGTCTCTACTTTAAAGAGTCCTCTCCTGCTGATGTTCAGGTGTATATCAGTATGTAGTGTCTCTACTTTAAAGACTTTCTCATACTGCCTGTGCTGCAGCACCTCTTTTCACCCTCTGTCTGAAACCAGAGCCCAGTCTGCTCTGATTGGTTAGCTGGCAGGCTCTGTTGTGATTGGTCAACCGCTTAGTGATGTCCCGCCCCTTAGCCTGTCAAGCTCAAACTTTCAAACTCATCCGCTGCCAATAAAAGGCCTAAAGTGAGTGTTTTGATGACGGATGGTGGTCAACACAACTGCACTTCCTGTGATTGCTTCATAATAAAAGTCCACTCAGGTTTAATGGGAAGCTGCAGCAGTGGAAATGTTCGGTTAGCATTAGCAGAAACTTGAGACGGCAAAGTTACTAAAAGACACTCAGTGTATTATCGCAATACTGTAAACAGTGGCCTGCTGTGTTACTTCAATTGGGATAGAAACTGAAACTTGTACAAAAATGCTGGACCATAATAAGTAATGGATTATATATACTTTATTTATCCTGAATTGGGAAAACATTTTCAAGATATTTTGCTACTGTATGTACAGTTGTCTTCTGAAGGTCAAACACTGGGTGACTGACAGCTGATGTCTGTTTGCTCTGGGCGATAATCATTTGGACACATTACTACAGATCAATGAGGGAGCTGACTGTCAATACCTTTTAGTCAGCTGATCAATAAACGACACACATTTGACCTGATTCAGACAAAAGCAAATGGCTTTCACCTTTTAAAAAAAATGGAATTTACTTAAAGTGGACCTATCATGCTATATTTGAATAATATAGTGTAGGGCCATACCTATATAAGGCATATTTATACTTTTTTCTTTTCAAAATACCAAACAGATCATGCATTTTAGCCATGCCTCATTTCGCTCAATTTGACATTTTTTAGCTCTGTTTTAGCAAGGGCTGATTCTGTGAGAACAGCACCACCTACATGCCTGGCATATGTACTACAGCGTCTCCAGCGCTTTTGAACGGCAATGGCCGTGGCTGTCTCCTCCTGATTGGTGGAGTTGGCCCAATAGCCGTAGTGCCACCGTCCTGACGTCAGGACAGTGTTCAAATCTGGATCAGTTTTTATCAGATCCGTTGCAGCCCCTTTTTTAGAGATTTGGGTATGGAGGAAAATAGAGAGGGTTGTGTTTTCTGACACTTGGTGAGTTCCCTGGAACACCGGGGACACATATTCATGTAGAAAAGACGTACAAAAGTGCATTTTGCATGATAGGTCCCCTTTAAAACCTACAACATTCCTGCAGATATAGTTAAGATATATTGGGAGAAAGCATGATAGGCAGCAATAGTTTCCCCCAAAACCAACTTCTACTGGAAGCAGCACATTCCTAAAAACTGTATCATCATCAAATAAAAAACCTCAAATTTGTACTTTGTGCCGGATGTGTCTCGCATCACAACATATGGGAGCAATTGAGGCATAAAGCAGAGTCATTGGGGCTCAAAACGCCTCGGGCGCTCTCTCAGGGTGTCAGGAGACGGCCCTGCACACACACACACACACACACACACACACACACACACACACACACACACACACACACACACACACACACACACACACACACACACACACACACACACACACACACACACACACTTCCTGGCAGTGTGGCGCAGCAGACTGTGTGCTAATGGAGGCCTGCTCAGTTTACAGGCTGCTGTGGAAAATAATAACTGAAACCAGCTCATGTCTAACAGGCTTCAGTGCTGCACGGCGGGTTAATCAGCGGCACATCACAGAGACCACTCTCTGACCCACTTTCAGGAGGAATTAGAGTCACACATAATCTTGCACTGTTGTGCTGGATGCTGCAACACAAGCATGTTTCTCTCTGTCTCTCTTTTTTCCGTCATGACGCAATCAAACGGATGAATAGTGTGACGGCAGCTCTTCTGGATGATCTCACAATGTATGCACTGTTTACAACTTGACCCCCAAGTCTATGTCGAGACAGAGCAAGACTTATTTACTATATGTACAAGATAATTGCATTTGCATACCAAGTCATGGATATACAGCATTTTTAATAATCTTCACTTGTATCTGTTGTATTTTCAACAGTTGTATTTTTATAACCCTTCAAACACTTGTCTGTTCTATCCTGTGTTTCACTTGTATTCTCTTGACGCTATAACACCTGCATTTCCTTATGGGGTAAATAAAGGTTTGTCATAACCAGGGTGTCTGCGGGGTCTTAAAAAGTATTACAAGTTGATAAATCAATTTAGCGAAAATTAAGGTCCGTTTGCGCCGGTTGCTAAGCAACATCGTTATGGGGAAATGCAAGTCTGCGTCCAAATGGTTGGAAGATAAGGAGGAAGGACAATCAATACGGTATATAGTCAATGTGAGGTAAAGTGTGTCGCCAAGGTAACCGGTTAGAACTCCAAGTGGCGATGAGGTCTTAAAATGTATGGAAAGGGTCTTAAAAAAGGTCTTAAAAGGGATTACATTTGACTTCAGGGTTCCTGCATATACCCTGGTAACATATCTTATCAAATAAGTGTCCATAAGGACTGCACAGGTATTCAAAATGTTGTCAAAAATCGCATTATCCAATTAGCAGCAAGTGCAATAGTTGGTGAAATATAGGCAAAATATGTAAACATATTTGAATGAAGTGGTGCTGCAGGGAAGTCCCATCCTTCCTTGAAATAAATCCTTGTTTGACAACAAATCAAATTCAGACCATGATCATTTTAATGTATTTTTTTTAATGATAATTTGAACAATGATAACAAAAAAAGACAATACCTTTTAATATCGCAAATCATCAATAATCGCAATTAGTTTTTGTTTTTTAAAATCATGCATCCCTTCTGTTTCTTGCATAACATTACATTTAATTTAGCTGACGCTTTTATCCAAAGCGACTTACAATTACAGGGACATTCTTCCTGGAGCAGTGGCGAGCCGTGAGCTTTATACCTAGGCCCTCTGACCCCCACCAATTCCCTCGAAAAAAAGAAGAAAAAAATAGTTATTACGTCACAGCGTATACTTCAGCGGAATATCAAAACAACGGCCCAGGGTGCAAAACGCATCAATGACAGCGACCCTCTACCACACAAAACAACACCTGTGAACCCAATTTGTGTTCTTTGACATTGAAAATGATATTGCATTGTGTTTGTTACTTTCGTTGCAGTTGTATGTCTTAAGTGTAATTTGGCATGCTTTTATTTTGAAGGCGAGTTCACGCTGTTGACAGGAAGTTGTTGTTGCTATGGAAACAAGAATAGTTTCACAGCAGGCGGAACTTGTCATAATGTCCGCGATAATAAAACCCACCCATTTAGAGGGAAGATATGATTGGTCAATTGTACTGTCATTTGACATTACTCTCTCGTTCAGTTACTATAGCAACCCTCTGTGAATCGCCGAGGGGGCCAGACGAGCTTCTTTCATGTAACCCTTCACATTCAACAGAGACTGAACAGGCAGATTCGAAGGATTTATTTCTTTGGAAATGTTATTTTAAATACAATTAAATCAAGTTTTTTTTCGGTAAAACTAAAAAATATAACAAAAATAATATTAAAAAAATATATATTTAAAAAAAAAAAATTTTTTTTAAATGTTTTTAAATATTATTTTTTAGAATATCTTAGGCCCTCACAGAGGGCCTAAGATATTATTTTTTAGAATATCTTAGGCCCTCACAGAGGGCCTAGAGGGCCCTGACGGCTCGCCACTGCCCTGGAGTAACTGAGGGCTAAGTGCCTTACATACTAGTGGTGGTGTTCCTGGCGGGATTTGAACTCACAACCTTCCGATCTTCAGCCCACCTCACTATCCATTAGACCACCACTATCCCTTGCCTTTATTACTTGCTGTTATTTACATCATAACTAATAACACTCATGTTGTCTCCAGATACTCCCCTGAAGCCCACCACACCCACTAAAATCACCGAAGAGGGCGATGAAGTCCTGGGGGACTACACGGTGGGAGAGACGGTGTGGGTGAACGGAGTGAAGCTGGGAGTCATCGCCTACCTCGGGGAGACCCAGTTCGCCCCGGGACAGTGGGCCGGCGTGATCCTCAACGACCTGGTGGGCAAGAACGACGGGTCGGTGGGCGGCGTGCGGTACTTCGAGTGCCAGGCTCTGCAGGGCATCTTCACCAGACCCTCCAAACTGAACCGGCAGCAGGCGGGCGATGGCAGCGACAGCCACTCCATCGACTCCCAGAACCAGGGGGGCAACGGCGTGCCCCCCCCCAGCCAGAGGGTGGTGGTGATGCCCCTGAGGGAGGGGCTGCTCAACAGCACTATAAGGACGGGGAACGAGTCGGGGTCCAACATGTCCGACAGCGGCTCTGTGAAGAAAGGAGGCGATAAAGATCTGAGGGTCGGAGATCGAGTTCTGGTGAGTCATGTTGGGATGGATGATGAAGGGGGGGGGGGGTCTCTGTAGTGTTTGTATCATTTAATTTACAGTCATTTTTACATTAAGACAGGAACAATCTGGGAATGTTATGGCCTGATAAAATAACAGATAATCTAGCGTTTTGTAATATGTACACTAGGGCTGTCCCGAATACCATATTTCGGGCTCCGGATATTCGGTAGTAATCAGCAGCGAATACTCTGCGCGCGCTTCAACACGTATGTGTAACGTTACTGTTTAAACGGCTAAGCTAAGCTACTACTTCCAGCATTCAGGTGACTTTTCATAGTTGTTGTGCCACCGTGGTAGGCCAGTTTCATATTGCATATTTGGCACACTGCCTTCGTCTCATCGTCGTCCAATTTAAAATAGTCCCACACAGCTGAAGTCTTCGGCATTTAGTTTTCAGGTGTGTGAAGCGAAGTGAAGCGTGACGTTCACGTTCGTGGCGCTGTGAGTGAAAGCGATGTCAGGCGCCCAGGCTGAGATTGTATATATTTCCGCATTTTAACAGTGCAATTAAAAAGTATAAATATAGTATAAGAATGTGGCAATTCGCCTTTATTGATAGCATACATTTAGGGGAAAAAAAACGGACATTCGGGTACAGCCCTAATGTACACTGAACCATATCAGAACCTTGGGTGAGTCCATTATTGTCTGTATATCTATTAGGATCATTTACACAGTATTATTTTTCCATTTTTAAAATATCCCAATGATCATCAGTAGGGTTGTGCATTGTGACACCATTACATTTAGCAAAAAATAAGAAATATCTAAGCAGGTCCGTTATCTAATGTCAGTAATGTTACTCAATAATACAGAGTTGTATTCTGGACATGTACAAGTCATCCTTTAATATTAGGATAAGGCATGATTGGATATAAGTGATTTCACTATCTTTGCTAAATCTTATTATCACAAATACAAATTTTTAACTTGATTTCTCTGTTAAATAATGTAGACAAACCCAAAAGGGCTTAAAGTAATTGGATGAGAGTCCCAGAGCATTGCTAAGTACAGTTTACGTTACATCAGATCCTCTGCAGGGTGAAGGCTTCCTCCTGGTCAATATTGTAAATCACTCCAGATTACTTTCAGCACTTAAGAGAGGAGAGCCCGTGTGCTGACACATTGATCAGAGGATCCATCTTTCTCCTAAGCCTCTCCCGGTACGACACGCCCTCCTCTGCAGCTGGAGATAAATCACTGCTGCAAAACATTTCTGTGAAACGAGCAAAAACCGTCTCATATTATTATGCTTTGTGGACGGAAAGGAAAAACCTCCACTTGGTGTTTAGTAGCAGGAGTAGGAAGCTATCATTATTATTATATTAGCTTGTATTTTCCAATAGGTTGTGGCAGTGACATATTTGATGTTGTTTATTTTGGTCTAAATGACTGTTTTATATTATTATCATTTGTATATAATTTTGACTTTTAAGTAGGGTAAGGGTTAGGGTACTATGACATTTTTGATTATTTATTTTGGTTTAATTACATCTTAAAGGTCCCATGTCATGGCCATTTCTACTGATCATATTTCCATTGTTGAGGTCTACTAGAAGAGATTTAAATTGTGCAATGTTCCAAACTCACATTGGCTTCTCATACAGCATCTCTGTATAGTATGTGTTTTCACTCTCTGTCCTACACGGCTTGTTGGAGCTCCTGCCCCCCCTCCCTGTGAGCCCAGTGTGCTCTGATTGGTCGGGACGTTGCGAGGCTCGTTGCTGCTCGGACAGGTTTCCGTGTCGGCGATACAGCGAGAACAAGCGAGACTCATCCTGAGCACACATGCAAGTCAATGGGACTCCCTGTTAGTTAGCCAAGGGATCCTGGTGTGTGAGGGGCTCCGCTGATTGGTCCATTTGGGCCAATCCGGTCATTTGTTGTTGATTTGGGTGTTCACACGTCACAGAACCCAGGAAGCAAACAATGGAAAAATAGAAATGTCCAACGAGGCGTTCTGGGGCAGCATAGACAGGTCTTCTCTGTGTTAGAGTTTTACTCGCTACAGGGTGTACTTTGAGGGTTTGTGACTCTGCAGACCGTTCACATGCAGAAGCTTCATAACACACAAGGGGACGGGTAATAACCAGAAAAGCATGACATGGGCCCTTTAACATTATTTTATACATATAAAATTAGCTTTTAGTTGTTTTCAGTAGGTTACAACACAGTAGATGTATGTGTTATTTATATATTATTTATTTGTATGTGTGTTAATATATTATTAAATGTTAACTTTATTTATGAGACTTTTTCAAATGTATTGTTTTATATGTCAAAGTCAATGAATAATCACCTTGAATAATCATGATCTCAATATTAAACAAAATCATAATCATACCCATGATTCTCACCATATTGAGCAGCACTTTAAAACCTAAACTGGAGGCGTTTCTGGCACTTTAGCGTAGTGTTCCCGCTCTCTTTTACTGAGGTTAAACTTTGCTGATGTTTGTGGCTAAAGAAGTCTAATTATGTTTTCGAGAGAGAGAGAGAGAGAGAGAGAGAGAGAGAGAGAGAGAAGAGAGAGAGAGAGAGAGAGAGAAGAGAGAGAGAAGAGAGAGAGAGAGAGAGAGAGAGAGAGAGAGCGAGAGAAGAGAGAGAGAGAGAGAGAGAGACAACACAGACACAGACACAGACACAGACACAGACACAGACACAGACACAGACACAGACACAGACACAGACACAGACACAGACACACAGAGAGAGAGACACACAGAGAGAGAGAGAGAGAGCCTCAGAGCTAAAACACATGATGAATGTCCCTGTTTTGATGTGTGGGCACCGACAGGAAGTGGCTCTCTGCTGCTGCAGTATTTACCCAGAGGCCTCTCTGCTACTGCAGTATTTACCCAGAGGCCTCTCTGCTGCTGCTGTACTTCAGTAAAGGTTAAACGGCTGTTCTCAGTGGGTTGCTTGTGATTTGGCTGATGTTGATCTGGGTAGTTTGAAAGCCACTCATATGGTCTCTAGTTGATGAAATAGTACTCATAGAGTGTGTACAGTTGCAATAGCATCATTTGGGTGTACGTGGAGTCTAAATGACGTTATTGAAATGTAATGTCATGTGGTAGGAACTGTGAAAATGCTAAGAGCAGCCAACCAAGAGTGAACTTGATGATTATGTTGAATTATACACTCATTCCCTTACAATAATAACTTACAAAACATGATTAAGACCCCTTCCCTTGTTTTAAGTACAAAAATGTGTCTACGGTGGGTTTTTTGAGTCAGTATCAGCTAAATGCAACAGGCAATATGAAAATGCTAACATGCTGATGTTGAAAAGGTATGACAACCCAGCTGTTCAAATGCACATTAGCCAGTAAAGTATTTAAAAATGGTTGTAGAAGTTATTGTCAGCACAATAAAAAGTATTGCAATATAAATGTATAATGATCTTAGTTTGGCATGTTTATCTGCTAATATTTGCTAGCTAACATGCTAACATTACTTTAGCGTATGTTAGCATGCTAACTTTTGCTGGATACCATTAAACACAAGTAGGCTAAGGCCGGTGATGAGAATGTTATTAGTTTTGCAGGTTTTCAGCATACACGTTTGCTATTTTAGCAAATCTCCACTTTGTTTAGCTGTCACCATCTTGTTTTTTGGAAGCAGGAGTTTTATAGTAATCCCTTTTATATCAATCTCAATCTCAATCTTTATTTATTTATATAGCACATTTAAAACAACCTTCAGTTGACCAAAGTGCTGTACAGGCAATACATATTAAATAACACAATGGGAGTACAATAATAAAACAATAATTAAAAACATGATAAAAAGCACAATAACTAGAAACATATTATTATTATATCTATATATATATATATATATTTCTGTCTGGGCCAATGTTTTGGACCAACAGACCGTCAGCCCTACAGCCATGCCCCTAGCACAGCAAACACACCATCAGCATATTAAGTATTAATGTACGTTTCCCATTTGGAGTCACAAGGAAATCACCAAGAATGACAGTGTACATGCAAGCAGTGTAGCATTTATTTATAAGCCTAAGATAAGTGTGGTTTTAGCTCCTTTAAAGTGCAGCTTTAACGTGTGACATGGAGCTGTGCTGAGTGTCTGTCTGCAGCTGGCACTCTGACGCTGAGTCACTGAGACTCTGCAGACTCACGCTGACAGCAAACCGGCTCACTTTAATATCTTCTGACACCACAGAGCTTCCGGCCACGCTCCTGTTATCTGGCCACAGTGGAAGGCAATATTATGTTGACAACAGGAAAATGAAGAGTGCCTTACAGTACCACGCCCTCTTTGGTTTTGGCCTTGTATTCAGTTCCTATTAAACCGAGTATTGAGTTCATCTAAATATGGGACAATGGTTTTGGAACGTCATGGTTGTTCAATTTTAAATGGATGTTCAGAAATGTGAAATGCAGATGTGGCGCGGAAACATCTGCACCGCTATTTGCTCTTTCCAACATTTTGTACATTCTCTACATATTCATTTGACAACTGCCTGGAAATGGGATTACAGAAATGTATATCGAGAATATCTGTTATCTGTCACTTATGTTGATTTATCTTAAATGTCAGAAAATAATTCAAAATGTCAGTCCCAGTTTCTCAAAATCCAGGGTTTTTAAAGTTAAAAAAACAACATTTTCTGACCTTTTTAGCATGAAAAAATTCTAAAAATATGATTTACATAACAGAAGATGATTAATGGCCTCAGTCAGATTTTTTGCTGCTTTTTTTATTGTTATGTTATTGTATAATGAATATATTGATGAGAACTTATTGATGAGTAATTTCAACCAATGATCACTTAAAGTGGACCTATCATGCTACATTTGAATAATATAGTGTAGGACCATACCTATATAAGGCATATTTATACTTTTTTTTTTTTCAAAATACCAAACAGATCATGCATTTTAGCCATGCCTCATTTCGCTCAATTTGCACTTTTTTTAGCTCTGTTTTTGCAAGGGCTGATTCAGTGAGAACAGCACCACCTACAGGCCCGGCATATGTACTACAGCGTCTCCAGCGCTTTCGAACGGCAATGGCCGTGGCTGTCTCCTCCTGATTGGTGGAGTTGGCCCAATAGCCGTAGCGCCACTGTCCTGACGTCAGGACAGTGTTCAAATCTGGATCAGTTTTTATCAGATCCGTTGCAGCCCCTTTTTTAGGAGGAAAATAGAGAGGGTTGTGTTTTCTGACACTTGGTGAGTTCCCTGGAACACCGGGGACACATATTCATGTATAAAAGACGTACAAAAGTGCATTTTGCATGATAGGTCCCCTTTAAGTCAAGTATAAGTAAAGCACTTTCCTATGTGTGCTAGCTGTAATATGTTGTCTTAAGTTGGGTATTTCATGTTTGCTATACAAAGTCAGACATTTAGGGGACTTGTGAGCAGTGGGATGTTGGAGATGAGTCCTTGTCGGTCATACATGTGGTCACCATGTGTGATCAGCAGCTGTACAGTCAGTGTAGCGTGTCGGCTGATAGACAGGAAACCAGCGCTCCTCTCTATGATGCAACAGAGCTGCAAGACCTGACCATGTGGCACCCTGGAAATCGCTCCATGATTTTCCCATTGAGTCATAGTTAACGTTTCTTGAAATCTACACAAGTGAATGCATGCAATTACAACTTTTGAATCTGTATCTCCTGCGCTCTGCAGAAAAACGTGTGGGAAATCTCAATGCATAGCTCATGAGAATTAAACTGAGAGAAGTCAACAAGGAAGTGACTCCAGACTCAGTCCTCTGGGAAAGGTTCAGGACCTTTAGCAGCACGGGAAGAAGTTGCAGGATTGTGAGGAGTACTAGCTGTTTTGATGCCAAATGCATGAGATATAAAATGGTAAATGGACTGTACTTAGATAGCGCTTTATCCAGTCTAAAAGGCGTCCCGACTTTTACGTCAGCTACGTCGCCTGCGTCGCAAATACTTCAGTCGACGAGTGGCAATAACTGTCCTTACCAGCAGGCAGCGGTAGTGTGAACAGCCAGTCAGAGTGATTGCTTGGGCCGTTTTTCTCTGACCTCCCGTGGCCGGTGTGAAAAGGTGCCGTAAAGAGACGACGGTGCGGGACACACCAACCTGAGTAGGGCGCCGCGAATGCCGGACTGCCTCTGACTCCCAAAATCGGGTTGGTGTGTAGCCAGCTTTACTCTCGGACCTAACATTCATACACATTCTCACACCGTTGGCCATCCGGAGCAACTCAGGGTTAAGTATCTTGCCCAAGGATACATTGACATGTTGACTGCATGGGCTGGGATCGAACCCACAACCTTCTGGTTGAAAGACGACCGCACTCCCTCACAGCCACAGTCGCCCAGATATAGACACCAATCTTAAAGGCATAGTTTGACATTTAAAAACAATTTGCTTATTCACGTTTGGTGGGTGAGAAAGAGGAGTGGGTCGGTGTGATCGTGTTAGCTTAGCTTGGCACACATAGTGTAACACAGGGAGACAGCTAGCCTGTATGTGTCACATGTCACCTCTGAAGCTCCCACGTTAACCTATTATAACTGTAAACCAGAAGTGCAAAAAATGCAGTTTTCTGGGTGGTCGTATGCAGGACTACTTCTTTGACGGAAGCAGTAACAGGGTATCTGTTTTCAGTGTTTGTGCTAAGCTAAGCTAACTGGCTGCTGGCTGGCTGGTACAGAAGTGATTTCAGCCACAATTATCTTGGTTTGTCACTAAAAGTAATTTTAAACGTTCTTATTTATCATTTTGTTTGGAAAAATTACCAAAATAAACATTACCATAAGGAGACTGTAATGGCCATGATTACATTTCTTCTACAACTCAGTGTTAATGTATTACATGTTCTAATTCACTGATGCACACAGCACAAAGACCCCACAGGAGAAATGCTGATATGCATTGTAGTATGTTAGTCGTTTCCTTTGTTCCTGATTGAACACAAGATAAAAACTGGAGGCCACTTCCTGCAATGTCTTTCTTCCTGAATGTTGTTTTGACTGAAGGGGCTTTCTCTCCCCTCTGTGCTGCAGGTGGGGGGCTCTAAGATGGGAGTCATTCGCTACATGGGGGAGACAGACTTTGCCAAGGGGGAGTGGTGCGGGGTGGAGCTGGACGAGCCTCTGGGGAAGAACGACGGGGCAGTGGCTGGCACAAGGTACACACACACACACACACACACACACACACACACACACACACACACACACACACACACACACACACACATACACACATATACACACACACACACACACACACACACCACACACACACACACACAACCACACACACACACACACACACACACACACACACACACACACACACACACACACACAACCACACACACACAACCACACACACACACACACCATGTTTACATCACTTCAGGGGACATTACATTGACTTACATGCATTTCCTGGAGACTTATCCTAACCTTAACCCTAACTAACACATGCCTAACCCTTACCCTAACCCTAACCTTAACCCTTACCCTAAACCTAACCAAGTCTTCACCCTAAAATTAATGATACCCCTTATGGGGACCTCCATTTTGTCCCCATAAGGGAAGCCAGTCCCCACACGTGACTGTGTAAACAGATTTAGGTCCCCACAAGGATAGTAATGCTAGGTCACACACACACACGCACACACACACACACACACACACACACACACACACACACACACACACACACACACACACACACACACACACACATTATGTATGCTTCAAGCTCCCCAAATTCCTTTGCTTTTCCCCTAAAAGGAGTGGAGGGCTGCGGCTCCATCTGTTCACTTCTTTGTTCTTTCATCTGTTTGTCCGTGAAATCACTCCGACTGACACACTAGCCCAGAGCCGCTTTGCCATATTCAGGATTTGCATTTGCTCCACTCACAGAATCCAGATATGTTAAATTGGTACGGACATTTTTTAGAGCGTTGCTTCAACTCGAAATGAAGCCATCAGCCAAAAGGGAAGCTAATGGAAATCAGATCCGGAAGCACACTTTTATTTGTTTATTATAAATATTTATTCTAAGATATCGTCTTGTGTAACTCTCATGATATCATTCCCAAATAGTTTATGATTCAAGGTTTACTTGTTCAAGTTAGTATAAAGAAAACATTAGAATAATAGAAAGCACATTGTGCAGAGAGGCAGCCCAGAAGGGATTACTCATGGTTTCATAACTATGTTCACAATCTAAGATAAAAGATCAAACTAAATTAAATATGAGTACACATGCAAACTGTAGGTAGAGTTAAAAAAGTGAGTAAAGAAAATTGTTATTGTTATTATCTTATCTTAAAATAATAAAAAAACTATTTTATTGGCTTCATTTGGCACATTTTTATCCAACCTCATCACAATAAATAAGCTTCTAGTAAACAGGAAGTGCCACAGACAGTGAGGAGACTCTGAAGTTGTTACCGTGTATAAAACCTCCCTCTCTCTGCTTGTTTTTGTATACAAGTATGTTCTTCTTGGTGACATCCTCTTAATCCAAACTCCTGCCTCCTCCCTCCCTGCAGATACTTCCAGTGTTTCCACAAGTTCGGCCTGTTCGCTCCGATCCACAAAGTGATCCGGATCGGTTTCCCCTCCACCTCTCCAGCGAAGGCTAAGAAGAGCAAGCGGATGGCGATGGGCGTCTCCTCTCTGGCCCACAGCCCCAGCAGCTCCTCCATCAGCTCCGTCAGCTCCGTGGCCTCGTCTGTGGGCGGACGGCCCAGTCGCACCGGCCTGGTGAGATTTATTTAGTTATTTATTTGTTTATTCCACACATGGCTAGTTATCTTAAAGGTCACCTATTATTCAAAATCCACTTGTTCATGTCTTTTACACATAAACTCTCCACCTATCAGGGGAATGTGGGGTTGGGCCACGGCCGGCCATTGCCGCTCGAAAGCGCTGGAGACGCTGTAGTACATATGCCAGGCCTGTAAGTGGCGCTGTAGTCTGCCACAAAAGCAGCGAAGAAGACTTCCCGCCCATAGTTACCATGGTTACCCTTCTGTTTATTCTCCGCTGTGGCTTTCTTTCTCCCTCCCCGAGGCAAGCGTTTGCTCCCGCTGCTTTAATTCAATGCAACCCCTCCCCGTCGAGGCAAGCACTGTAATTCTCTCCGGTTAGTCCACCAGCAGATGACAAACACCCACCTCTCAGCCTCTTCCAAGGAACGAGGGGACCGTGCGGCAGAGTTTCAGTTTCAGTTTCTTTCGCCGGTCAAGATGTCCGTTAAAGTTTAAATCTTCCGGACAAAATTAGAAAAGTGCCGGTCAAAGGTCTTCTTTGTTATTTATTGAGCTTTAAAACAAATGAATACCGACTCTATATAATAAAACAGGGAGGACGGAGATCTCTTTTTCTCCCCCTCTTCTGACAGCCCAGCAGCTGATCAGAGCACGGCTCCCCTCTCCTGCAGGGGGGCGTGGTCAGCAGAATCAGACCCATAGACAGCAAACAGCACATAGAGCGAAATGAGGCATGGCTAAAATGCATGATCTGTTTGGTATTTTGAAAACAGAAACTTATAAATATACCTTATATAGGTATGGCCCTACAATATATCATTTAAATATACCATGATAGGTCCACTTTAAAGAAGGATTGTTTTGGGAGATTATCATCCTCGCTTTGTTGCAGAGAGTTGGGTTTAATATTCTCATCTGACTCTTGGCAAGGAAGCAAGAAGATTAGATTAGATTAGATTCCTGTATTGTCACTACACAGAGTACAGCGAAGTTCCAAGCATTCCCGATGGGGCAATCACACATAACAGAGAGTATAAGTATCATTTGACAATACAAGCTACAACTTTTGATATAGTATAGCTAGCATACCGTTATTTATCCCAGAAAATCGGGATATAATAATATCATGATCAAAAAATGACTGAAGAACGTAATTCAAATGTCTGATTTTCAAAACATTTAGAAGTAAATGGGACTTGATAAATTAATGTATTTGACCCGTACCGAATTTATAATAATTAATATTCTTATAAAAAATGTTAACTTGAAGTATTGATGCTTGAATTTTAAACTGAACATTTGCAAAAAAAGTGGCACGAATATGTTAAGTAATATCACAACAACATCGAGACCTTTTTATTGTAATATCTTGATATCTTATACATCCCTATACATAAAGTAAATAACTTTATTTCTTTATAAGGTTCCATTTAACACCACCAAGAAGGTTAAACTACAACCTGAACATAGTTGAATGGCCATAAAGAAACATACAAATGCCACAAAAAGTAGCTTAAATGTAGGCATTCTCTTGAAATGCGGTTTTGTTACATCAAACTCTGATAATTGTACTATTTAGTTTGTGGCTAGAACCAATGGTCTCTGTGAATCGGACTGTTTATGCAATCAGGCATGTCTGCATGTAAAAAAAGAGACCATTTTGAGGCAGAAGTCTTCATATATTGAAATATGTGCAAATATCACACCCTTTAAGAATCTTACTGATCTTATTCATTCAGTGGCTTCAGAAACTGTTCACTCCCTTCTTGAATCTGCCCTCTGTGTCTTCAAGACTAATAACCTCAGTAATGTCCTGCAACAATCCGACATAAAGGGACATCCGGATATCTCACATTGATTTTACCTCCTGGTGGAAGGCCAGATCTCGGAGGGAGAAGCCTCCCCTTTACTTTGCTTAATTGTTGGCGGCAGAGAGAGACTGCCAGTCTGAGTTATCAGCAGATCTGTGCACAAAGTATTCTGACTCACCTTCATCCTAAAGATCTTACGTTGTTCAATGCGAAAGTCCCCGTCCTCAATTTGTAGGTACTGACACACAGTAATACATACATTGCTGCAGTACACAGCAAAGGTGCACGAGTTCATGACCTTTGCAACATGCTGTAAACATGAATTTAAAATGTAGGGTTATTCATGACATGTTAATGATTTTTTTTATCCACAGTATCTTATTACTAACAACTCATGTGTCAGTGTTCTGTGTTTAAATAAAGGTTACTGAATTGAACTGATAGCACAGGTCAGAGAGGAATCTTTTCAAAGAGCTCTCTCTAGTGGTCAAAACAATAGTTACATCTTTTAGGACTTAATTGTGCTGAGAAATATTTATTGTTTGAAGCCTTGTGATGCCAACATTAAATAATATTCACTTAAAAAGTGTACAATGTTCTATGTTATCGTACTATGGTCAGTATAAGAAAGCCTGTTGTACATCATTGTGGGTATTTTTTTTATGTTTTATGAAAAGGAAATATCTTTAAATAAAATGTTTCCCTATGTCAGATTCACATGTCAAAGTCATATATTTATGATAAAAGTCTCACAAATACATTTGAATATTAGATGAGATCATAAAGTCATAAAATTGCACAAAAAAAATACATTTAAAGAAATAAACTCAGATATTTCCTGATATTTAAAATTCACAAATTTACGACGAAAAACTTGTCGTCTCTTATTAATTATTGAGAATAATCTCCAAATTCTTTAATCTAGTTTTTTTTTAATATTCTTCGAGAATAAGTCATACATTTGCAAAAAAAGACAATTTAGAAATTGAGATTTAATAAACGTAAAAAACACTAATTTACAAAAAATAAAAAACTGTACACTTTCTTTGTATTACTGATAATGGCCCTGATACGCCGTCGCACCCTTCCCTCTGTTTCCCTTACAATCCTCCCCTTCCTCTGCTCATCCCTAATATTTACCGCCCTCTCTCTCCTCCAGCTGACGGAGACGTCGTCCCGTTACGCCCGTAAGATCTCGGGCACCACGGCGCTGCAGGAGGCTCTGAAGGAGAAGCAGCAGCACATCGAGCAGCTGCTGGCGGAGAGAGACTCTGAGCGGGCGGAGATGGCCAAAGCCACCACCCACATCCAAGAGGTGGAGAAGGAGCTGAGCAGCTTCAAGGTGCAGCATGTCACGGTACGACACTCAGATAATAAATGTCACTTCCTGTTGGGAAGATACTCAATGTACTCTTCCAATATCAGAGTACACATGATAACAAAGGCAACTGTAGCTGTGTACATGACAGGATGTATGATTACCGACAAGAACCGGTATTCCTCCATCTTGTGACTGTGTAACTCCCTCTCTTGGATATCAGCATGTGAAGGACACTGTTCAGGAACTAGTTGATGCTCTGTATGTGATGACTACTTCCATTCTGGAGAGGATCACAAATACATGGATCCTGAGATTGAAGCTCAAATTCAGGATTTTTTGATTTAGAGAAAAAGTAAGAATTTTTCAGAAAGTCCGAATTTTGAGATTTTGAGAAAAAGTCAGAATTTTGAGAAAAAGTCAGAATTTTTAGAAAAAGTCAGGATTTTTAGAAAAAGTCAGGATTTTTAGAAAAAGTCAGGATTTTTAGAGAAATTTGAGAAAAAGTAAGAATTTTGAGATTTTGAGAAAAATTCAGGATTTTGAGAAAAAGTCAGAATATTTTGAGAAAAAGTAAGAATTTTTCAGAAAGTCCGAATTTTGAGATTTTGAGAAAAACTCCGAATTTTTAGAAAAAGTCCGAATTTTTAGAAAAGTCAGGATTTTTAGAAAAAGTCATGATTTTGAGGAAAATTCAGGATTTTGAGAAAAAGTCAGAATTTTGAGAAAAAGTCAGAATTTTGAGATTTTGAGAAAAAAACCAACAAATTCTCTTTTTTTGTTTTGACTACTTCCATTCTGGAGAGGATCAGAAATACATGGATCCTGAGATTGAAGCTCAAGCCGGGGACCAGTGATATTTTTCAAACACTTCCTGTTGGGCTCAGGCAGTAAATTATTCACTGATAAATCTGTCGCATGTCCCATTAACGCTCTTTACCCTCCACAGTTTGTGTCGGAGAACGATAGCGCCCTGCAGCAAATCAAAACTCTGCTGACCTGCACGCAGAAAGACAAACTGGAACTGACCAATCAGCTCGAAGAAGAGAAAAGGTGACATCACAGAGCTGTGCTGCGCTCACTCTCCTCCATGTATAGGGCTTTATTATCAAATCATTTTGCGTTAAACAACTCAATGAAATATCTGTTAAAACTATAATCCAGTAATATAATATACACGGTTATTAAATGGTCTGTTTTGCCCAATGAGACTTTCACTTTGGGTTCTTTAAGTATATATCAGAATAAGAAATAATTTATTTACCATGGAGAAATTGGGTTTATTGACACTTGTTTCATTTTGAGAAAGAAATCAAATTAAGATAAATAAATGAAAATATTCATATAAAAAAAGGAAGAATTTGCATTTAAAAAAAAAAGAATATTACAATATTATTAAAATATGAAATAACATAAGCAACACATTTGTTTTCAATAAAAGATCAATTAAAAATAATAAAATATTGTATAAACATAAGAAGTTGATTACCAAACTCATTAATGCTAATATCATTTTACTAAGTACAAAAATGGCTCTTAACCTATCCTCTGTGCCACATCTCTAACAACTACTTTCTCTACAGGAAAGTGGAGGACCTCCAGTTCAGAGTAGAGGAGGAATGCATCACCAAAGGAGACCTGGAGGTATTTATCAGCAGAGTTACTACATATAAACACTATTAACAATTCAATATACGTCCTTCTTAATGCTTAAATCCAGCATATAACACCATGGACCCTGAGAAGGTAGACAAAGGTCACGACTCCATCCCCTCCTCATATGATCCCCTCTCCTCAGAGTGTGATCTTCCTCCTTCTTCTCCTGTTCAGTCTGTTGTTCCTCCCTGTCTTTCTCTTTGTCTCTCTCTGTAGACTCAGAGGAAAATGGAGCGTGCCCACATTCGTCAGCTTGAGCAGAGTCTGCTCCTCGAAAAGTCGAGAGCAGAGGGGCTTCACAAAGACGTAGAGAAGAGGAGGGTAAAAGAAAAGCAACGAGCCCTCTGCCTGTAGCCCGTGTGCTTCTCATGAACTCATACTCCACCTGTCTGTGGTGTCCAAATTCACAGGAAGTCAAACACGAGATACACGAATAATCCTCTGAAATCATTAGACAGACACACATATCGGTCAATCTGACGTTCAATCTGAGTTTACACTCGTTAAAAGATTATTAGTTATTTTAGACGACACAACTTAGTCAAATGTACGGAAGCCCGGAGAGGGAATTGAGATAAAAAAATGTGATGATACTTTTTTTTTTTTAAAGGTCCCCTATTATACTGTTTTTCATCAATATATTACAGGTCTCAGATATATCCAGAGCCTGTCTCTGATTGGCTGAAACACCAAACAGATCATTGCAGCATTACCCATAATCCCCTCTGTTTCAGCCCTGTTTCCAAAGTGCTGATTCTCTGTCTGTTACTTTAGATGAAAATAAGGAGCCCCTCCCCACGCCCCTCTGAGAGAGATTTGGTTACAAAGAACTCAATGGTGCTCTAGGAGGAGATTCAGGTGATAAGGTGGGGGGGGGGGGGGTTTACCTTGGTTGCTGATTGGCTAATGGTTACACAAGACAACACATCGTTATGACATCATAAAGTGGCCAAAATCTGATCAGCTCATTTTCAGACAGGTTTTTATAGAAATGGATCAGGACAAAAAGAGAGAGGGTCTTTGTTCCTGAAACTTCAGAGTCTCTTTCCAACAGAGGGGACACATGTTGATGTAGAAGAGACATGAAGAAGAGGGGACAACATGTTGATGAAGAAGAGACATGAAGAAGAGGGGACACATGTTGATGTAAGAAGAGACATGAAGAAGAGGGGACACATGTTGATGTAGAAGAGACATGAAGAAGAGGGGACACATGTTGATGTAAGAAGAGACATGAAGAAGAGGGGACACATGTTGATGTAGAAGAGACATGAAGAAGAGGGGACACATGTTGATGTAGAAGAGACATGAAGAAGAGGGGACACAAGAGGGGACACATGTTGATGTAGAAGAGACATGAAGAAGAGGGGACACATGTTGATGTAGAAGAGACATGAAGAAGAGGGGACACATGTTGATGTAGAAGAGACATGAAGAAGAGGGGACACATGTTGATGAAGAAGAGACATGAAGAAGAGGGGACACATGTTGATGTAGAAGAGACATGAAGAAGAGGGGACACATGTTGATGTAGAAGAGACATGAAGAAGAGGGGACACATGTTGATGTAGAAGAGACATGAAGAAGAGGGGACACATGTTGATGTAGAAGAGACATGAGGAAGAGGGGACACATGTTGTTGATGAAGAAGAGACATGAAGAAGAGGGGACACATGTTGATGTAGAAGAGACATGAAGAAGAGGGGACACATGTTGATGTAGAAGAGACATGAAGAAGAGGGGACACATGTTGATATAGAAGAGACATGAAGAAGAGGGGACACATGTTGATATAGAAGAGACATGAAGAAGAGGGGACACATGTTGATGTAGAAGAGACATGAAGAAGAGGGGACACATGTTGATGTAGAAGAGACATGAAGAAGAGGGGACACATGTTGATGTAGAAGAGACATGAAGAAGAGGGGACACATGTTGATGTAGAGAAGACATGAAGAAGTGGATTTTACATAATAGGTGACCTTTAAATCTGGTCAAGGGAGTTCCTTTGTTTCCCCAAAGTAATATATGTTAATGTGTTAGCACAGGGGTGCAATGGAGCCTCTTGTGGCCAAAATGAGTATTACAACAACAATGACAGAAAATGCAATATTTGTTTATATGACAAAACGTTTTTTGCCCAACTTTTCAGTATCAGAATCAGGTTTATTGAAGCCTGTAGCTGCTGAAGATGCTGGTACATCAGAATTTAAACGTAAAGGGCTGTGAAGTTTTATAAGAGGTGGCATTGTGCAGAGACGTGCAAAAATGTAAAATAACTCATAAACACAGGAAAGAAAGCCATTTATATCAAACTTAGAAAATGCATCACATGCTTTTTTCTCACTTGCCTCTCAGCACTTTCTTAAGAATCTGCTGAAATAAGAAAAATACGATACGTCCCCCCCCCCTCATCTTTTAAAATAAACGTCTGATTTAGACGCTCGTCGATTTTTCTTATAAAAAGTTATGAAACATAGTGAGAAAAAAGCCTTCATCTGTCTCCTCCTCCTCCTCCTTCATCATCATCACATCATGGCTCCAGTGATGTCTCCTCATGTCTGACGCAGAGCTCCAGCTTCATGTCTTCTGTTGCAGGAGCTGCTTTAAATGATGATGTCTCTTCTTTTATTCAAAGCTTGTCCATCAGATGAGTTGCCTGCTGGCTTTGTAGATGCCAGGATGTTACATGTACAACATCCTTTTACTTTAGTGACACATGAGAGATTGCTCAATTGTTAATGTGATCCATCCCTGATTCAAGCCACGTTTTGGTCCAGTCAGCATCAGCAAAGGACTCCCTTTACACCGCTTCGACACGCAGCCTCTTCAATAATTGACAAATCAAACCGTAACACAAGGTAACACAAAGGCTTTGACTCGCATGCAGTAAATCTGCTTCTGCCAACAGGGGAGAGGCTCTCATGATGCAGCATCCTTGAGGTTGGGTAAGAGAACCAAGGTGAACAAAAAAAAGATCTTGTTTTTGGCTTCTGATCCGCCGCCGAGCTATCTCAATTCTCCACTTCAGATGCTGACATCCACTTCAGAGGCTGTCAGGGACGTGGATCCTGCACAGACTCTTTTTACTTCTCCTGTGTGCTGTGCCTCACTCTGAATGCTGTGCAGGAAACTTCTGTTCATAGGGATTAACTAGTAACTCTGGGGTCTGGTAGTTGGTTTGCCAGGTTGAAGTTAACACGTGTGCACTTACGTTATTTGGGTATAAGTGTGTGCAGGATGTTTGCTGTTGGCTTCATTGTGTGTGTTTGTATTTGCTTGGCTGCTTGTGTCTGATCAGAGAATGGCTCTCCTCTCATCTGCTGTGCGTTTACAGTGAGCTGCTCACATCTTTGGACAGTGACACAGTGACCCTTATGCTCCTTAGTTTGATGTCTTTGGATGAAAAAGATTCAATGAATGACGAGCTGCAGCAGCATGATAAAACAAATGTTTCATCTGTTCGTAAATTGTAATCATTATTATTGCCAGAACCTTTTAATCAGATCAAATGAAAATGTGTTAAAATGTCCATAACTCAACGTTCTTCAAAATTATTTATTTTCAAATTAACTTAACTTATTTACTAATTTATTAACTTGCTTCAATAATTTACATTAGGTCTGTATTATACGACGAAGGTAGGGTAGGTACGTTTGAGAAACCGGCTCGAGATACACTTGTTGTTATATTCCATGGAATGCTCTTAACATCCCGATAGCAATGAATATCTGAAGTGCTTTGACAACAAATCCATAAAGAAATATCATCTGTGGAAGCCGTGGTACTGTAAAAAGCACGACCAATCATCTGAGCCGGCCCGGCTAAAATAACTGGATGGCCTACCTGCCTGTCAGCCTTCCATCTGTGCACAAACTTATCTCCTGCCCTCATTGGTCATGTGCGCGTTCGTGTGTGTTGGAGGAGGGGCTCTATAAGGAAGTGGCAGATTTTCTCCGGTTGTGTATTTTCAAATTCTAGCGATCTCGAGCTGGTTTCTCCAAAATTACCCACCCCACCTTTAAGTTGTTAATGCTTTGAGTTAAATGTAAAAACAAACATAACAGACAAACACACACTCCTACGCTCCTTCGAGGTACCGAATAAAAATGTAAGCACTTTTAATCTGAATTGAACATTTAGGGGATCAGAATCATTATTTCTAGGTAACTCTATGATCCTCTTCAGCTGGTGAATTGTTTGTCGCATCTGCAAAAAACACAATAGTTTAAAATGTTGGTTTGAATTCCACCTTTTCACCAAGATTCAAGAAATCAGTCCAATGTATTTTTGGTAATCCTACTTACAAACTGACAAACCTAACCTCCTAAAGGTGCTGAATATTAAATGAACATTCATCATTACTCCAAATGACTAGTGGCTGAAAAATGTCCCCTAAAAAAAAATCTAATAATGAAGCTTTAAAGTCTAAGTGCCTAAATGTGTTTTGTCAGTATTTGACTTTGCAGTTCTTGCTTTGATCTCTAACACAGTTTTAGATCCTTGCCGTATATTCATAGTGAACGATAGATAATGTGAAGTGTCAGTGGGTGTAGCCTCCGTTACATTCAAGTGGAAAGTCCTCTTTTATTAAACCGCTGTCAGCTCTAATACTCTCTGCAGATACTTCTTTGTTTCTGCCAGCCTGTCCAAAACAATCTTTGTCTCGGCCGCCTAAAAGCTCCTCCGAAGGTCATCGTTAAATCTTACTTCTTTAATCCATACTGAAACAGAAAGGATGTCCCATTAATATTAAAATCTCATGCTCTAAGTAGGACATGAATAAATACTGAGTCATTCTTTGTATCATCTTTTGTCTAAGTCGTCCAGCAGGGAGTTTTAACGTTTCACTTTGTCACTGTCCACACGCTGAATGTCTCCAAAGCTTTGAACTGTTTCCAGTCTTTACGAAGGTCTTCGGGGTTTCCCTTACGTTTCCTTATTCCTGATTTCTGCTGAGTCACTTATTCTTTAGCAGAGGTGGAAGAAGTATTCAGATGCTATACTTGAGTAAAAGTACTAATACATTATTGTCAAAATACTTAATTACAAGTCCTGCGTCTAAAATCAGGTAAAAGTACTCAGAGTGCAGGAAAAAGGATTTTATGTGTGCATATATTACATTACATTACATTACATGTCACTTGTTAGATGCTTTTATCCAAAGCGACTAACATACATTCAATACTGTGGACAATCCCCACAGGAGCAATTTGGGGTGAAGTGTCTCAGGGACACAACGACATGCTGACTGCAGTGGGACTCGAACTTGCTACCCCCTGATTCGAAGTCCAGCACACTATCCACTGAGCACACTATCCACTGAGCACACTATCCACTGAGCACACTATCCACTGAGCACACTATCCACTGAGCACACTATCCACTGAGCACACTATCCACTGAGCACACTATCCACTGAGCACACTATCCACTGAGCCACAGCCTCCCTATATATTCATTTTTATACATGTGATATTTCTAGATAATGTTGTTGCATCAAGTAGCATTTTACTGTTGGAGACAAGCAAAGCTCTGATGGACTTTCTGTCAAATATTTAAGTAATTTGACTATTTTTTTGACTTAAAAAGTTAGTCCACTAGTTGAATTTTTAGAGAAGCATTTTGTTAACAGTAGCTAAAGCTGTTGATAAATGTAGTGGAGTAAAAGTACATTATCTCCCTTTTAGATGTAGTGGAGTAGAAGTTTAAAGTTGCATTAAATGGAAATACTCAAGTATTTATTTTTATTTTGTATTCTACTAATTCAATATTAATACAGACAATTACTGAAACTCAATTAGTAGAAGCGGGAGGGCAGAAAGGATAGCTGATACAGAAAATAGCCCTTCCGTTAGTCAAGTAAAGTACACAATTGTACTTAAATACAGTACTTGAGTAAGTGCATTCAGTTACTTTCCCACCTCTGTTCTTTGGAATGACGTCGTTCAGCTTCAGGGTGTTTCTCAGTCGTTCTTTCGAAGCAGCCATCAGTGATCATTTCAGCGACAGTGACCATGTTGTTTTTTTCTCGCCAGCAAACCACGGTTGAGGAGCAGAGTCGCATCGTGCAGCTGGAGGAGGAGCTGAGCCTCCGGAGGGCGGAGATGGAGAACCTGCAGGTGAAGCTCCGAGGGTCCGACTCCCAGCAGGAGGACGGTGACGAGGCCCCGGGGTCCGAGCCCGAGACCCTCGTCCTGCGAGTACAGCTGGCCTCTGCGGGCCGCGAGCACAACAAGGAGAGCAGCGAGCTGAGGGAGAAGCACGAGGCGGAGCTAGAGGAGAGGCGGCAGGAGGTCGCTGAGCTGAGGGCCGAGCTGGAGACAAAGAGCCGGGAGCTGAGCGAGGTGAAGCTGAAGGTCCAGGACGCAAACAGGGAGAACGTGGAGATGATGGACACCTGGAAGGTATCTGTCCAATGCACACTGATCAGAGAGCTGTGGAATCAATCAATCAGTCCGATTTTATTCTGAAGAAGACAAGGGATTTTCAGGAAAAAAATTAAAGGCAAAAATATGAGACACATAGAGAGCTGGGAAACCTGAAGATCAGCAAAAAAAGTGAATTTTAATAATGAATTGTGAAAATGCATCAGGGCTTAGAACATGCTCTATTACAGTAAGTCTCATCCGTTGGCTACCTGGAAGGTATTCTGTCCAACGCAAACTGATCAGAGAGCTGTGGGAATGTGGGAATGGATTTGATGCTGAAGAAGACAATCTCAATCTTTATTTATTTATAGTGCACATTTTAAACAACCTCAGTTGACCAAAGTGCTGTACAGGGAACAAATACAATATAGAATAACACAATAGGAGTAAAATAATTAAACAATAATTAAAAACAAGATAAAAACATAGAGAAAGATGGGATTTTCAGGGTTAAATAAATAATAAAACACATGAGACAAATGGAAAGCTTGGAGCCTGAAGATCTTTCATTACCATGCTCTATTAGAGTGAGTCTCATACGTTGTTGCAGCAAGAAGGGAGAAGGAGAAATAACACCATTTGTTACATTGATATGAAATCAAAAACAAATTTAAACATTTTTAACAACAAAAAAAGCCTCCAAAATATCATTTTAAGACACGATACGATACGATAATACTTTAATGGTCAGATCAAGTCTGAAATGTGACTTGCATCACAGCAGCTCCATGTGTAACATCAACAAGGACAAATATCAAGACACAATACATGACAAACAAACATTTAACATGACAGCACAATCACTGAGAGAAAAAGACCCTTTAGCGTGCATTTGATCTGGATTCAGCTCTGTTCTGGGATTTAGCGCTGTAAGATCTTGAGGAGCACCGTATCTAATATTCCCCTTCCCTTTGCAGGATAAATTTGACTCCTTGGTGGTCCAGCACCAGCGCTCCCTGGAGGACCTGAAGGCCTCTCTGTCCGGGGATCACCCCGCGGCAGGAGGCGCCGAGCAGGCCTCTCTGGAGAGCCTGAAGACGGAGCACCAGCTGGAGGTGGAGAACCTGAAGGCCAAACACAAGATCGAAGCAGCCATCCTCACCAAGGAGCGCGAAGACTTCTGCACCCGCCTGACGGAGGCCAAAGAGCAGCTGGACAAGGGGAGCCAGAGCTGGAGGAGCGAGGCGGAGGCCAAGAGCAGCAGGAAGGCCCTGGAGGAGGCCGGAGAGAAGCTGCAGAGGGCGGAGCGACGGCTGGCCGAGGTGGAGAAGATCCACATGGAGAAGGACAGGAACTCAGAGGAGCTGAGAGAGAGGCTGGAGCTGTCGGAGAAGAAGACGAGCGACTACCAGGCGCTGCAGAACGCGCAGGCCGAGAGCCAGCAGGAGATCCAGAAGCTGGAGGAGCAGCTGAGGGTGACGGCCAATCAGCTGCAGGCAACGCAGGCCGACCGCTACACCTCCAACCATGCTAACGTGAGTAACACAGGAGATAAGAGGCGGGGATTTTTTTTGACTATCTGTGTGAATGTATTCTTTTTTCTACATCTGTCCGTACTGGAAGAGAGATCCTCCTCTCTTGCTCTCCCAGAGGTTTCTTCACTTTCCCCATTAAATGTCGGGTTTCTTTGGCAGTTTTTCCTTGTCCGTTGTGAAGATGTAAAGACAGAGGTCGTCGTAATTATATTCATATTCTGTATAAACTGTAAAGCCCCCTGAGACTAATGTAAAACTTGTATAAATACACTTTGATTGATTGATTGATGAGATAACTAAGTGTCGATATGCTGTCACTGCTTTGGTTTAAGCTTTAACACGTTATCCTTTTTCAGGTGATCGAAGACAACGACATTACAGAAGAGAAGATGAAGCTAAAACAGAATGTCGAAGGTATCAACGTCCATTTATTTTCATCAAAACATATGCATATACTTTAGTTTTTATTTTTCAAATATGAATGTATATTCTGCTCCATGTCCAATCATTTCTCGAGTTATAGAAACAAATATTTAAAACAGTTATTGAAGTTATAATGAAACCCCTTTACGGTTCAGAATAAATGTTCTATTAGTTTATACAAATAATGAGCAATTCTTATTTCTGCCACTTATGTCAATTATTATCTTTATTTTCTCACCATCAATTCTAGCATTTAAAATAAAGATAATAAGAGTTCATACTGGCTCAAATCACCATAACAAAATCTGGCTCCCTTGGCATAAAGGAGATCTGTCCACCAAGTATTCAGTATTATAAGATTTTCAGAAATCCTAATGTAACTTTGGAGACAATAGGTCACACCGGAGTACTTTTCCCACGTTAGTTCCGATATAGTTCCGAAATGTTGCGTTCACACCAAAAAAATCCGGAACTAGAAATTAGTTCATGAACCTTCTCACCCCCTTTTCAGTCCCTGCTAGAGAGCAGGTACTTTCCCTGGGAGAAAAAGGTTCCTATGTCTGATTGGCTGGGCGGATTGCAAACCACGCCCCGTAAAACTCGGAAAAGTTTTGTGAAGCCGCCATTTTATTTGCTGGCATTAGCATTATTAGCATTAGCATTAGCCCAGCACACAAACACAGAGAGACTAACTTATGGCAACACAAAAGAAAACATGGGAGCGGTGGAGATGAGGAGGTGTCGGCGTTCTGGCGATTTACTCAGAAGGCTTCAGTAGAAGCTGCTGGGAGTCCCAGCAGCTTCTACTGAAGCCTTCCCCAACTCCGGGGACTTCCGGCCGGGGACTTCGGGTGGCAGTATACGCCGTGAAGTTGTTTGCGGCCTGCCAGTAAACCCAAAGCAGAAGAAGAAGAAGTGACGTCAGCGGCTTCATTTGCCTAATCCTCCCTCAGGAACTTATTCCGGTGTGAACGCGATCTGTACTTAGTTCATGAGAACTAAAGAGTTCTGATGAACTAAGTACTGGGAACTAAGTACGGCAAAGTACTTGGTGTGAAAGCGCCTAATAAGTAACTTAAAGCCTCTTATGGACTGCGTTTGATTTGCCTTAGAGCCTGTGTCAGTCACTAATTGTGGTTTCTTGAACATTGTATCCTCAAAACACACTGACTGTTGTTTTCTTTATCTTCAGAAACAATGGAGAAGTTGATGAAACGGGAGAAAGAGGTGACGACTCTCACTTCCCAGGTGGAAGGTCTCAAATCCCAGCTCGGAGGTAAATGTCATTTTCCAAAGAAGAAAGAAAGACATCTGTCAATACTGTAATCCCTATAGAGAGCTCCTTTATTTTCACACACAATAGCATTGATTTTACAAACAGGAAAAGATAGTTTGGTGTTGCGTGTAGGCATGTTCCCCACCATGTCTCTTACATAGGAGCAGGACACACTGGAGTTGTTCAGTCTCTTTTTATAGTAATAGTTTTACAGTTGGTTGTCCGGCAGTGGCTCAGTCAGTAGGGGCTTTGACTGGGACCTGTAGGGTCGCCGGTTCAAGTCCCCGACCAGACCTAAAATATGGAGTGTGGACTGCTACCCTGCCGTGGTGTCCTTGAGCAAGGCACCAGACACCCCCCTTCCCCCCTCACTCCCATTGCTCCCCAGGCGCTGTACAATAGCTGTCCACTGCTCCTAGTACTAGACTCCTGGTACTAGACTCCTGGTACTAGACTCCTGGCGCTAGACTCCTGGCGCTAGACTCCTGGCGCTAGACTCCTGGCACTAGACTCCTGGTACTAGACTCCTGGCGCTAGACTCCTGGCACTAGACTCCTGGTACTAGACTCCTGGTGCTAGACTCGTGGTACTAGACTCCTGGTGCTAGACTCCTGGTGCTAGACTCCTGGCACTAGACTCCTAGTGCTAGACTCGTGGTGCTAGACTCCCGGTACTAGACTCCTGGTTCTAGACTCCTGGCGCTAGACTCCTGGCGCTAGACTCCCGGTGCTAGACTCCCGGTACTAGACTCCCGGTACTAGACTCCCGGTGCTAGACTCCCGGTGCTAGACTCGTGGTACTAGACTCCTGGCACTAGACTCCTGGTGCTAGACTCCCGGTACTAGATTCCCGGTGCTAGACTCCCGGTACTAGACTCCTAGTGCTAGACTCCTGGCACTAGACTCCTAGTGCTAGACTCCTGGTGCTAGACTTGTGGTACTAGACTCCTGGCACTAGACTCCTGGCGCTAGACTCCTGGTGCTAGACTCCTGGTACTAGACTCCTGGCGCTAGACTCCTGGCACTAGACTCCTAGTGCTAGACTCCTGGTGCTAGACTTGTGGTACTAGACTCCTGGCACTAGACTCCTGGCGCTAGACTCCTGGTGCTAGACTCCTGGTACTAGACTCCTGGCGCTAGACTCCTGGTGCTAGACTCCTGGTGCTAGACTCCCGGTACTAGACTCCCGGTACTAGACTCCCGGTACTAGACTCCCCGGTACTAGACTCCCGGTGCTAGACTCGTGGTACTAGACACCTGGCACTAGACTCCTGGTGCTAGACTCCCGGTACTAGACTCCCGGTACTAGACTCCCGGTGCTAGACTCCCGGTACTAGACTCCTAGTGCTAGACTCCTGGCGCTAGACTCCTGGTGCTAGACTCCTGGTGCTAGCCTCCCGGTACTAGACTCCCGGTACTAGACTCCCGGTGCTAGACTCGTGGTACTAGACTCCTGGCACTAGACTCCCGGTACTAGACTCCTGGTGCTAGACTCGTGGTACTAGACTCCTGGCACTAGACTCCTGGTACTAGACTCCTGGTGCTAGACTCCTGGTACTAGACTCCTGCTGCTAGACTCCTGGTGCTAGACTCCTGGTACTAGACTCCCGGTACTAGACTCCCGGTACTAGACTCCCAGTACTAGACTCCTGCTGCTAGACTCCTGGTGCTAGACTCCTGGTGCTAGACTCCTGGTACTAGACTCCTGGTGCTAGACTCCTGGTGCTAGACTCCTGGTGCTAGACTCCTGGCACTAGACTCCTGGTACTAGACTCCTGGTACTAGACTCCTGGTGCTAGACTCCTGGTGCTAGACTCCTGGTGCTAGACTCCTGGCACTAGACTCCTGGTACTAGACTCCTGGTGCTAGACTCCTGGTGCTAGACTCCTGGTGCTAGACTCCTGCTGCTAGGATGGGTTAAAAGCAGAGAACACATTTCACTGTGTGTGCTGTGTGCTCTGCATGTGTGTCCATTAAAGAGGGTTTCATCCGTCTGATTCCATCCATCTCTGTGGTTGGGTTGTGTGTCTGTGTTCGTTTAGAGTGTTTTGCTCCTTTTGTGTGTGCTTGTTTTTCCCTTTTGGTGGTCTTTTTGGGTGTCTTTGAAGTTGTTTTTGTGGTCTTTGTGAGTCTATTTCCAGCAGTTCTTTTGTTTGTAGCCTTTTGATGTTTCTTTGTGTGTCATTTAGCATCTCTTCATGGTTGGTACATGTCTTTTTTAGTTCCGTTCAGTAATCCTTCAATGCCTGCAGGGGAATTGTAGTGTTTTGCCATAAATGACGCTATTGGTTGAATCATCTCCTGGCCATTAGTCAAATAGGCTTTTGTTTTGGAGGAAATCTGACATATTTCTCATTTTGTAAACTCGTTAACTGAGTCATATTTAAATAAAGAGCATTTTAAGTGTCACATCATTGTAGTTCTCTGCGCAGTGCCCTGTGTGTTACTGACTGCAGGCTTCACTTCATTTTGTGTTCATCTTCACTGTTTCATTCTTTGATCAGCGCTGAGAAATCTGTCAAAAGGCGGTCTTTGAAAACTCCCATCACTTCAAAAGGACCCAAAACACTCTTCATGTAGCTCGGATAATCACATTGACACACTTTGAAGAACAGACTGTGAATATCTAAACATCAAGAAAGAGACACAACGCGGAGGATTATTCAGTTATGGGCCACACAGTCTACAGTGAAGTCGCTCTTTTTATCTTTGTGTCTGAAGGGATAGAAGTGGAGGAATACCAGCACAATATTGAACATAGAATTCTGTGGGGAGGGATACAACAAAATGGACAACCTGCACACCTGTATTTTTTTGTCTTTGACGCTATATGTGTTGTTTAAGTAAAAAGAAAATAAAGTTTAAAAAATAAATAAAAACATGGAAAAAACACAAATACAGTAGTAACACAAAGTGGGAGATCATACTACCTGAAGCCTTATTACTTCAGGTAACATATATTTTTGCACAGAAAGATGACTTCATATGCATTGTTGCTAATTTGGCTTTAAGTCAATCTTATCTCATCTAATCTAATATCATGTAATATAACATTATGTCATGAAATATGACATAATATTGTTTTAACAATTTATGCAAGGTGTTTAAATGAATTTCTAAATAACATTATCATAAATGCTGAATATACTGAACTGACAACTTATATTAAAGGGGACCTATCATGCAAAATGCGCTTTTTGATGTCTTTTATACGTAAATATGTGTCCCCGGTGTGTCGGGGAACTCACGCAGCGTCAGAAAATAAAACCCTCTCTCTTTTCCTCCGTACCCACATCTCTAAAAATGGGGCTACAACGGAGCTGATCCAGATTTGCGTCCGATATGACGTAATATCGGACGCTGGAAATCTGGATCAGCTCCGTCTAAAATGCATGATCTGTTTGGTATTTTGAGCAAAACACATCATAGACATGTTTTGATATATTTGTATATATCTGAGAGCCAAAATATATGCCTAAAAAAAGCATAATAGGAGACCTTTAAATTCAAATGTTCTCCTCCTTCTTAATTCCCTTCCTTCAGCTCTGGAGGGGAAGGTGCGCTCCGGAGAGAAGAAAGCCGAGGCTCTGGCGAGGGAGAAGGTGCGCGTGGAGTCGGAGCTGGAGTCCATGACCAAGAAGTCCCATGATGCATCTGGGCAGCTGGTCAATATCAGCCAGGAGCTGCTGAAGAAAGAGAGGTACGCAGACAGCGCTGCATTGATTTTACAATCTGCCTCAGCACTTACTGCCAGAGAGAAATGATCCTCGCAGAAATGTCGCACTGAAGTACAACATGTTATTAATTTGATAATGGACGGATACTTGGAGCCCACAGGCCATGTATTGATTTTAATCCACATATCTTCACCTTTATTTGTATCACGCTATTTCATTTTGTAATGTTTCATCTGGATACTGCCAATGTTGCAGTTATAACAGCGCCCTGCGGAGCAATCAGGCCCCGCTTTGTTGTTTGATTTCCTTTAGATTGTTCTTTTAAAAGTATCAGCCTTTGTTGTCGGCTTTCTGTCTTTTGTTGTTATTGTTTTTATGGTTTTCCTCTATTGGGAATGACGTTAAAGCAGCAATTCACACAGTCGTATTATGTTATATAAGTTTACAGAAAGATACATCCTTTCTGATGTTCCAATATAATTCACACTCGCGCTTCTATTGGCTATCGCTCCAACACATTGTATGTGATAGGCTAAGGGGCGGGACAAGTGGTTGACCAATCACAACAGAGTCGGCCAGCTAACCAATCAGAGCAGACTGGGCAGTGGTTTCAGACAGAGGGTGAAAAGAGGTGCTTGGATGGCAAATAAGTATTTGTTTTAATATGTGTGGAGGTTGAATGTAAAAGCCAAATTAAAAGTAATTTATGTTCCTAATATGGTCACTAATTCTGTATGAATCTTACACCAGGGGTTAGATATAATTACGATTTCCAGCAGGGATATTAATGAGGAAGCAGGGAGAAAAAGACTTTCCTTTATAACTTAAAAACACAAGGGAAATGCGTTCTGTGTTCAAGCTTTGCATTAAAATAAAACATAATAAAATGTTCTGTAAAAGAATAATAGTAAGCAATTAAATGTAGGAACATATTAGGCTTCTAGTTTCACAACGCCAGAAGCTTATAATGAATATTCTGCTTCCACTGTTCATGTGGGATTACTTATTAATAGCACCTCTAAGGGCCCTTAACAGCCTTATAATATAATACTAAAGTCATATTAGAAAAACATATTGAAACACCCTGGGCTATAATGTAGGCCTTAATGATAGGATGAATAAGTAAAAAAATAATACTAAAACATATCATTAGTTACTGGAGGAGTTTTTTATTGAACCTATCCATAAAATAATTTAAAACTTTTTGAATGAGACTTGATTCCACATTGCTGCCTGTAGTCATACTAGAAATGAAATGGTTACTCCCTGACAATAGTGTCCTGTTGAATTGTTTAGTTTAACAACTAAACAATTCAGCAGGACAGGTCTCTGCATCTGAGAAGTCAAGATGATGAAGAAATGCCTTAAATATGCATTCTCATTAATATCCAGAAGGGGGCGAAAAAGAGTTCAGATTGTATAGAAGTCTATGAGAAAAAGACCCTACTTCTCATACGATTTATAACCTCAGTAAACATTATTCGGAAGAGTTTATAGTCTCCATCTATAGTTTAAAGCAGTGGTTCTCAACTGGTGGGTCGCCAGATGTGTGAGTGAAGATTTATTTTGTTGAAAAAAGTCAAACTTTTATTTTGAAGGCCCGATTTTCTAACGCTGAGCATGCAGTAGGCGTTGGACTGGAAGTACCGGAGACCATAAACGGTTTTGAAAACTTCTGTCATAGTGATCATCTTCTCAATAAAACATCTTTGCTGATGTTTTTTCGAGTCTTCTGGCCAATCAGAATCAAGACTGTTGCCGGAAGTCCCCACGGAGAATAACTACGGTAGAACTATTCTTTATACATCCACGGGTACAACTTCAGATAGAAATGAACACATAATGAAATATGACCCCCGGTTTGATGATTGACAGGTCACAGAACAATGGGGGCTATCTACCCTTACCCACAATTTAAAGTAATTCACACAGACTCTGTCCTCTTTGCTCTTCTCTCTGTGAGGAGCAGAATGCGTAGTTTATATGTTAGTATTTCAAAAAATCTCCTGGGTTTTCAGCATGTCTGCCTTTTGATGTTATACAGTTCAGCTTTGATTCCATCATCTCATTAAACCTTATTTAAAAGCATACTTAAAGGGGACCTATCATGCAAAATGCACTTTTGTACGTCTTTTATACATGAATATGTGTCCCCGGTGTTCCAGGGAACTCACCAAGTGTCAGAAAACACAACCCTCTCTATTTTCCTCCATACCCAAATCTCTAAAAAAGGGGCTGCAACGGATCTGATAAAAACTGATCCAAATTTGAACACTGTCCTGACGTCAGGACGGTGGCGCTACGGCTATTGGGCCAACTCCACCAATCAGGAGGAGACAGCCACGGCCATTGCCGTTCGAAAGCGCTGGAGACGCTGTAGTACATATGCCAGGCCTGTAGGTGGTGCTGTTCTCACTGAATCTGCCCAGAGCTAAAACATGTCAAATTGAGCAAAATGAGGCATGGCTAAAATGCATGATCTGTTTGGTATTTTGAAAACAGAAACGTATAAATATACCTTATATAGGTATGGCCCTACAATATATCATTTAAATATACCATGATAGGTCCACTTTAAGTTATGTGAAGGGATATAAGGGATGCACTGTACTTCACTTTCATTAATAATGTATGATGAAAAGCGTATATATATTACAGCACGATTTTTTGTTGAATAGATTTGAGTGGTTCAAAATTTCGGGTCGCGATTTATTGACAAAGGAACAAGTGGGTCCCGAGGCCTGACCAGTTGAGAACCACTGGTTTAAAGTCTTATTCAATACAGCATGATGTTCATTTCTTAAATTGAGATCACATTTACAGTTAAAAAAACGAAAAAACAGGGGATGCTTTTGGGCCGAGAAGGTGACAGACAAAATGTCGAAGTTGAGCACACACCAATTGGAGACGTCACAGTGACTACGTCCATTTTTTTTTTTATATATACAGTAAGGTCCTCAATCTACCCACATGAGAAACATAGATATAACTATAATAACTTTTACTTGTAGGTTTGTTTACTTGCTGTAAAGAGTTACATTATAGTGACATCATGTTTGAAAGCAGTGTTAATGTTTTGTTTTTTGTTGAAACTAAAACACTTCGTAGAGTTGAAGCGATACTAAGATAAATGATAATTCTTTGGGTGTTTGTCACTACAATAAACCCTTTCACATTACACATATTTGATACTGTACATAGATATTTATGATCAGTGCAGCTTAGATACTGTATGATCCTCATATTTCTGTCGGCAGCTGCAGGTCATTATCGCCTAGTTGTGGATACAGAACATTTAGCAGACAAAGTTCTGTGTGTGTTTCGGGCTGGGTTTCGCTGTCTCGCAGACGGCCACTGGGCTCATAGGGAGGGGGGGGGGGGGGGGGGGGGCAGGAGCTCCAACAAGGCGTTTAGGACAGAGAGTGAATACACATACTATACAGAGATGCTGTATGAGAAACCAATGTGAGTTTGGAACATTGAACAATATAAATCTATTTTAGTAGACCTCAACAATGGAATTATGATCAGTAGAAATGGCCACGACATGGGACCTTTAAACTTTAATGAGGTTCATTATATGAGTAGCTGAAGTGGCAGTGTTCAGGGAATACCTGTGCACCTCATGGTTACATTAATTATTTAAGCTGTTCTCCACACTAGAGAGGACACACACTAGAGAGGACACACACTAGAGAAGACACACACTAGAAAGGAGACACACTAGAGAAGACACACACTAGAGAAGACACACACTAGAGAGGACACACACTAGAGAAGACACACACTAGAGAAGACAATCACTAGAGAAGACACACACTAGAGAAGACACACACTAGAGAAGACACACACTTGAGAAGGCACACACTAGAAAGGACACACACTAGAAAGGAGACACACTAGAGAAGACACACACTAGAAAGGACACACACTAGAAAGGACACACACTAGAAAGGACACACACTAGAAAGGACACACACTAGAGAAGACACACACTAGAAAGGACACACACTAGAAGACACACACTAGAGAAGACAGACACTAGAAGACACACACTAGAGAAGACACACACTAGAGAAGACACACACTAGAAAGGACACACACTAGAAAGGACACACACTAGAGAAGACACACACTAGAGAAGACAGACACTAGAGAAGACACACACTAGAGAAGACAGACACTAGAAAGGACACACACTAGAAGACACACACTAGAGAAGACACACACTAGAGAAGACAATCACTAGAGAAGACACACACTAGAGAAGACACACACTTGAGAAGACACACACTTGAGAAGACACACACTAGAAAGGACACACACTAGAAAGGACACACACTAGAAAGGACACACACCAGAGAGTCTCAGAGTCTTTTGAGGACACTTCCCGCAGAAGTCCCCCTCTATCAGGTTGCATTTCTTCATTTCTGGCACACTTCTCACCAAACTCCCAAAGCCATTGTAGTTGTTGTTCCTTGGCATTGCTAATCCAGCCAAGTGAAAAGAGAGTCATCACTGCAGACGTGCAGGGCTTCATTAAACACACTCACATTCACACGATGCATTTTGAAGGACACTACAGATTAGTCTAATTGTATTACATTATTGGCTAACTCACATTATGCGGTTCTTACATTATCGATGGTTATGATGTCAGTAAATGCTACAAGGCTTTACAAATAAGTGCTTCTGGCTACAGCAGAACATTTTCTTTTGTGCATTGTCACTGCAGCAATTATGTAATATGCAATAAAAATATGTCTACTGTAGGATCCATTGGTGGCCCCTTGAGTTAGTGTTATTTGATTGTAGTGTCATTATCTTCCCTAATGATCCTGCTGCTATGTGAGCCTGCCATCCTTTTAGGAAAACAAACGAGTACATTAAAGTGAACACATTGTTACACATCTATATCTTTGGAAGATAATTCAAGAAAGCCAATTACTAGCAAGGCTTATGATGGAAGAAATATTGATTTTTCTTTTTTGTTGAAGCAAACAATAATACAAGACCATATATAACTATGCATGTCACGGGGGAAGAAAATCAATGTTACTGAGCAGAGCGCTGTCATAGTTAGGAGCCCGAGGAGCTGCAGCAAACTGTGTAGGAGGAGGAAGAATACATTATCAGTGATATGGAGGACATTGCTTCATTAAACAAAAGTGAAACAACCTTTTGCATGCATTCACTTAGTTTTTGTCCACTGGGGGGCAGCAGAAACGAGCTGTGAACACAATACTGACATGGCAAACTTGTTAGCAAACAACTAAATACAACACTATTACACATATTACAAAGAGTTATTTAATGGATTGTTAAAGGGGCCCTATTCTGCATATTTTCAGGTTCATATCATATGTAGTGTCTCTACTTTAAAGAGTCCTCTCCTGCTGATGTTCAGGTGCATATCAGTATGTAGTGTCTCTACTTTAAAGAGTCCTCTCCTGCTGATGTTCAGGTGTATATCAGTATGTAGTGTCTCTACTTTAAAGAGTCCTCTCCTGCTGATGTTCAGGTGTATATCAGTATGTAGTGTCTCTACTTTAAAGAGTCCTCTCCTGCTGATGTTCAGGTGTATATCACTATGTAGTGTCTCTACTTTAAAGAGTCCTCTCCTGCTGATGTTCAGGTGTATATCAGTATGTAGTGTCTCTACTTTAAAGACTCCTCTCCTGCTGATGTTCAGGTGTATATCAGTATGTAGTGTCTCTACTTTAAAGAGTCCTCTCCTGCTGATGTTCAGGTGTATATCAGTATGTAGTGTCTCTACTTTAAAGAGTCCTCTCCTGCTGATGTTCAGGTGTATATCAGTATGTAGTGTCTCTACTTTAAAGAGTCCTCTCCTGCTGATGTTCAGGTGTATATCAGTATGTAGTGTCTCTACTTTAAAGAGTCCTCTCCTGCTGGTGTTCAGGTGTATATCAGTATGTAGTGTCTCTACTTTAAAGAGTCCTCTCCTGCTGGTGTTCAGGTGTATATCAGTATGTAGTGTCTCTACTTTAAAGAGTCCTCTCCTGCTGATGTTCAGGTGTATATCAGTATGTAGTGTCTCTACTTTAAAGAGTCCTCTCCTGCTGATGTTCAGGTGTATATCAGTATGTAGTGTCTCTACTTTAAAGAGTCCTCTCCTGCTGATGTTCAGGTGTATATCAGTATGTAGTGTCTCTACTTTAAAGAGTCCTCTCCTGCTGATGTTCAGGTGTATATCAGTATGTAGTGTCTCTACTTTAAAGAGTCCTCTCCTGCTGATGTTCAGGTGTATATCAGTATGTAGTGTCTCTACTTTAAAGAGTCCTCTCCTGCTGATGTTCAGGTGTATATCAGTATGTAGTGTCTCTACTTTAAAGAGTCCTCTCCTGCTGATGTTCAGGTGTATATCAGTATGTAGTGTCTCTACTTTAAAGAGTCCTCTCCTGCTGATGTTCAGGTGTATATCAGTATGTAGTGTCTCTACTTTAAAGAGTCCTCTCCTGCTGATGTTCAGGTGTATATCAGTATGTAGTGTCTCTACTTTAAAGAGTCCTCTCCTGCTGATGTTCAGGTGTATATCAGTATGTAGTGTCTCTACTTTAAAGAGTCCTCTCCTGCTGATGTTCAGGTGTATATCAGTATGTAGTGTCTCTACTTTAAAGAGTCCTCTCCTGCTGATGTTCAGGTGTATATCAGTATGTAGTGTTTCTACATGTCTCCATGCTTTAATGTTCAAAAAGCTCTTTATTTTTCTCATACTGCCTGTGCTGCATCACCTCTTTTCACCCTCTGTCTGAAACCAGAGCCCAGTCTGTTGTGATTGGTCAACCGCTTAGAGATGTCCCACCCCTTAACCTCACGTATAAATTGGAGCGTTAACCAATAGTAGCGCGAGTGTTACATCGTGATGTCACTATGAACACAGGGATTCTAGCTATTGCAGGACATTTACATGCAAGGGCTGTGTCAAAATAATATTTGTTGCGGGCTTTGAAACTCAGTGAACTGTCACATTTTCCCGAAACGTATGGTCATTATTTAATTATTTTGAACTGTACTTTGCTAATATTGTGTAAAAAGTTACAAGGACAAAAACATTTCAAGGATTTTTTGCATTTTATTGATACGTCAAGGCAACCAAATATGCTAATAGCATATCTTAAAGACACAGTGAAAGCCCCAAGAAATTATTGATTGAATGAACAAAACAATATGAATAGACTATAGCCTATGCCAGGGGTCGGCAACCTTTTTGATATGAAGTGCCATTCAAAAGCAGTGTGTGGACCTGTCAGCGCAACTTACATGATGCCGAATTTAACAAACACATTGAAATAATTGGTTTAAACAGCAATCAATAAGGATGATCGTCCGTTCTGTGATTCTCCAGAACACACAGATGGCCAGTCCGCCCCTGTGTAGCATGTTATTTCGATGAGAGATGAGCAGATCGCCACTGGGCTTTCAACTAAAGACACAGCCACGCAAAAACTGCGGCATTTGTAAAGCTCCTTATGGGTACTGCAATTTGTGAAGTGCTTTCCTCCGTGGTGAAACGATCAGCACTGCACCACGGAGGAAAGCGGCAGAAAGTCGCCTGGAGTTAAAGAGAGCGGGGCTGCGTTGCGTGCATGGCAGGTAACGGGGAGACGCGCTCTGGCGGCGGTCTCGTTCAGGATCCGAAAATAACATTTAAATATTTTTGCACACTTATTCCACTTATTCCTATAGTGTGCCACTGGTTACGGTGCCAGGGGTTGCCGCACACAAACACACGCTATTCATCTGAGAAAGTATAATGAATAATGTGGAATAACTAGTGCCTAATTAATGAACTATTTGGACATTGTTTGGTTAATGCGTAAGTAATCAATTCTGAAAAGTCAAAACAATTATGGATTTGAATAGTGATTCAACAATAATTTCAGCAACAAAGGAATGTTTTTGCACAGAGTATTTCTTTTAGAAAACGGAAATGATGCTCTCGGTGGGTGATTTGCATATACATATAAATCGTCTGAATAAGGGCATTAAAGCAGCTAACCCCTCTGGGTAACATGTGGTGCCCTGGTCACAGAGAAAAATAACCAGTGTATGTTTTCCACTTATATTAGTATGCGAGTAAACAGCCAAATATGTTTGAATATGGAAATGTACAGAGGTGAAGCCGCCTCCACAATCCCCACCGACCGAACCGGCTGATATATAATTCACATCCTGGGTCTGGAGCTTTCAAATGATAATGACCTCTGAGCAGATGTACCACTCATGTGATCTTTGACAGCAGACATTGTCTTTATTTGTTCTTTAGAGAGTTCGTAGCAATAATTGGCAGAACCAGAATTCCTTTATTTGTCCCACAACGGGGAAATGTACATTATTACCACAGCAGAAGTATAGTGCAGATAAAGGGAAGAGAATAGACTTGCATATTGCGGGTTGTAAATAAATTGAGAGAAACAAGAAAGCATGAGGGTATAATGCACATGCTATATATTGCACAAAGTTTTATATTTACAGGCAGTGTATCAGGGGTACCAGAGTTTGTGTGTGTGTGTGTGTGTGTGTGTGCGTGCGTGCGTGCGTGGATGTAACGTCTGACCACTGCAGGAAGGAAGGACCTGCCGTATCTCTGTTATAGAACGAACACACACTCAAGCTTGCCTGTTTGATTTGTTTCTCATATGTTTAGTTTTTTTGTGTTTCCAGGAGTCTGAATGAACTGCGGGTGTTACTCCTGGAGTCTCATCGCCACTCGCGGGACATGGAGAAAGATCTGACCCGGGAAGTGCACAAGGCCGAGTGGAAGGTGAAGGAGCAGAAACTTCAGGAGGACATCAAGACCCTGCGCGAGAAACTGCTTCTGCTGGTGAGGAAGTGTGATGAACGCTGCTTCTGAAACTGCTGGGATTACTTTTGATTTCCCATATTCTAGTAATGTTGTGGTTGCTAAATCCCCAGCTAGTTTCATGTAACGTACACAAAAGCGTTGCACGTTCTACCCTAGAAATCTATTATAACTTACCAAGGTGAGTCAGTACATCATAGATTAATTGGGTGAGGAATAGGGAAGTCTTACTGGACACAATCAACATTAAGCTATCCTCCTGGTTCCAGCTTCATATTGAATGGATAAAGAGATATATCAAACTAAAAAAGAGAAGCCTCACCCTGGCCTCAATGCCTGTCATGATATACAAAATACTCTAGCAACTCTATACATAATGAAAGATGGGAAAATCATTACTTTTTAAATGAATAGTGAAAGTCAACGCAACAGATGCTAATATTGTATGGGTAAAAATCCCAAAAATGCTTGGTCCTGCATTCCCCAAAAAGCAACTTGATGGCATCTTTATGTCATACCGTGCCAAATAAACTCAACACAGACCATTGCTACATATGTGCTCAAATATATTGCCAAAAAGATTTGTATAACGTTAAATATTTACCACCAATACACAGACATTCTATCACTGTTTTCTCGACAATGACTTAGCCTCCCAATACATCATTTGTGACTTTTTTTCAACCTTATTCATGTTTCATTTTTGTAGCTGGAATGGGGTTTCTCCAGATTACAGAGTAGAGTGCTGTTTCCACAGACTGCTGGAAGGCAGCTGTTGGTTAATGTAATCACTGCTTAATCAGTGGCAGCTGAGATGATCCCTCAGAGGAAGTTCATTTGTTGAAATGTGAAAATCTGGGTAGCTTGTGGTAGGAGATTGAGGTGAGATTATTGTCACCCATGTATGTTATATGCGCAGTAACTAGTCTGCTCACATTTGAGTACGTATGCGGGCGTATTTTGTATGTATGTTATTTCAAGGCTTTTATTGTCATGTGTGCATACTGTAGCTACAGTGTAGTTATGACAATGAAAGTCTTAGGTCACAGGGTCCTCCAACAGTGCAACATAATATAACAGATAATTAAATCAAATCAAATAGAATATAATAGAAACAGAATATAATAGAAACTGTTTAAAAAAATGACAATAAAAAAAAAATATATGAAAATCTGCTCTTTACCATTTTTTACCAACATACTGACTCACTCCTGCTCTGTGTGTTTCAGGGTCGGGAGCGGTCCTCCCCGGACCACCGGCGGCACTCCATGCTGGACCCCTCGATGCTGGACTCGGAGATGAGCCGGCTCCGGCAGCGGCTGCTCGGCACAGAGGACGCCCTGCGGGGGGCCATGGAGCACAACCAGCAGGTGGACCAGCTGGTGCTGGCCATGCGCAGACACCCCGAGAAAAGCCCGGTAAAACCTCAACTCCACTTCATAATAATAATAATACATTTTATTGGTAAAGCACCTTTCATTGCTAAAAGTAATCCCAAAGTGCTACAAGGGGCGTAATAGAAAAAAGAAACACAAGTTTAATCAAAGGCTTTTTTTAAAACATGTTCAAAGCATGGAAATAGTTTGGATGTGAGGCAGCTTGGGAAGAAGCCTTTAAAGATTCAAAGGCAATGTTGGCGATGAAAATCTTAAGTCCCTGGCTCTCAAACAGTGTAGATATAGACATACATGATACTTGAAAGTCACGTCCTTAAAAGAAAAGCGATATACTTAAGCTACGTACATGTAAAATAGAATATGGAATAATTTGACTCTGCTATCATTTTCAATGTATGGAATAAATTAACGTTAGCTTAGTTTATCACAAAGACTGAAAACAGGAAAACAGCTAGCCTCGCTCTGACTAAATTAAAAATATCTTATTACCCATGCTCCTCTCTAAAGCGTATCCTACCTCCCTGCCATCAGAGTGGTTACAATCTCCACATCTGAGCTCAGCGAGAGCCAAAAATGGGTTGAAATAGTCCTTTATGTTAATGTAACTCACAACACAAAGACAATCATGTTCAGAATTGGCTTTAACCCTCCTATTGTCTTTGTTTCCCCCCTTACTTTGGTGTTCGCGGTCAAATTTGACCGGTCCTGTTTGAACTGCTATTACATTAACACAAAAACCATTAATCATCACCACATTTCATTGAACACCCTTTCAAACTGTACATATTGTATCAGACTACTGGTATACATGAACAACTGCAGTACATATACAAAGAACAGACACTGAACATGTATTGCGTGTGCCAGGTGTGATCCATGTGGGGGGATGGGCACATAAGAGCGGGAAATGTGTCAAATTGTTGTGTGTGTGTGTGTGTGTGTGTGTGTGGTGTGTGTGTGTGTGTGTGTGTGTGTGTGTGTGTGTGTGTGTGTGTGTGTGTGTGTGTGTGTGTGTGTGTGTGTGTGTGTGTGTGTGTGTGTGTGTGTGTGTGTGTGTGTGTGTGTGGTGTGTGTGTGTGTGTGTGTGTGTGTGTGTGTGTGTGTGTGTGTGTGTGTGTTTTATCTGATCCGGATGGTTACTAATTCCTTTTCTTTGTGGCGGACCGGGAACACCATGGGTGTTACAAAGTTGACTAAATCATCCAAAACTCAATGAAAGTGTTGATCAGCAATTCTCTATGTTCAAATATCTACTGTGAAGGATATCATAAAGCCTTAATGCAATCGAATGTAAAACAAAAAAGTTATGATTGATGAAAGTAGTAAATCGGTCAGATTTGACCCGAACACAACAGGAGGGTTAATCATCAATTGTTTACTGTGTTTTTCAGGTGCATGGTGTAAACTCAGCCAATGGGATTCATCATCAGGAGTCCGGCAGTACTCGAGATGTTAGTACTATTTCATTACACTTAAAACCATGATATGATTGTGGCAATATTACAACATCTGTCAGTGCTAAGACATGTTGTTTCCTTTCTTTTCAGGAGCAACACTGATATGAGCAGAAGAGATCAGACTGAACTGGGACATCTTAAAGAAAAAGCTGGTCCGACGTTTCCTCCTGACCCTTCGATGGACGCCTGAAGAAGATTTCAGTTTACACTCCAAACCAAAACAGCGAATCTCCATCTCCAGTGATTTTATGTGTTGTTGCAGAAAGCACCTATTAGCCAATCATGACGACCGCTTAAAGTACTATAAAATATAAACAGGTAATGGGACATGAAGAGATATTATCGGTACAAACTCTGTGACAATTCCTAATTTTGAACCGGAAGGCAAAACGGCTGATGGACAACGACGTGAAGAACTGAAGATCTCAGTCCCTCTGTTTGTTTTATTTATTGCTTTGACTTTGATTGAATCCTGTATGAGTAAGCTGTGTTGGCCAGTGGTACTCAGAGCAATGGCTGACTTTTATTTTAGGGAGTTTGGCTCATGTGTCACTTTACTTCATATCTAATGAGAAGTGTTAGAAACCTCATTACGGTCAGCTCTGTCCAGTGTTCACGCTGCCGCTTTAGTGTACAATATGATCAATAACTGTGGAATTAAAAAGGATTGTTCAAGTAATACTCCACCCCAAAATCTGTCTTTTATTGATAAAACACAAACACTGTTCAACCCTTCTTCGATTGTAATCAGGGCACATTTATTTATAATGGATATCAATGTCGGACAGTTTTTTGTTTGGATTTTTCTTTTTTAAACAGTCCCCGACACCTTATATCCCACTTCCTGAAACATAATCCACTTCTCCTTCACTCACCAGGGTACAGCAAATACTCTGCTTCTGTTTCAGTCATCACAAACCATTTGATACTGAAAATGTGTCTTTTAAAGCATTTTCAGTCAGACAACTCACGTGTTTCTTAATATACAGAAGCAGCATATAGTTTGAGTTTGGCGTCTAGGCTCGGGCCTCATCACTCCACAGATTTACAAAGAACATTGAGTGATGATTAGATAACTATCCCCCCGAGCCTACAGGTGGAAGCTGGGGTGGAAGCTGGGGTGGAAGCTGGGGTGGAAGCTGGGGTGGAAGCTGGGGTGGAAGCTGGGGTGGAAGCTGGGGCTGAAGCTGGGGTGGAAGCTGGGGTGGAAGCTGGGTTGGAAGCTGGGGCTGAAGCTGGGGTGGAAGCTGGGGTGGAAGCTGGGGTGGAAGCTGAGGTGGAAGCTGAGGTGGAAGCTGGGGTGGAAGCTGGGGTGGAAGCTGGGGTGGAAGCTGGGGTGGAAGCTGGGGTGGAAGCTGGGGTGGAAGCTGGGGTGGAAGCTGGGGTGGAAGCTGAGGTGGAAGCTGAGGTGGAAGCTGGGGTGGAAGCTGGGGTGGAAGCTGGGGTGGAAGCTGGGGTGGAAGCTGGGGTGGAAGCTGGGGTGAAAGCTGGGGTGGAAGCTGGGGTGAAAGCTGGGGTGAAAGCTGGGGTGGAAGCTGGGGTGAAAGCTGGGGTGAAAGCTGGGGTGGAAGCTGGGGTGGAAGCTGGGGTGGAAGCTGGGTTGGAAGCTGGGGTGGAAGCTGGGGTGGAAGCTGGGGTGGTGGTGGGGCAGGCGAGCAGCAGCAGCAACATGAAACACAGCAGCAGGAACATGAACGCAGCAATAGCAAGTGAACACAACAGTGGCAGCAGCATGAGCGAGGCAGAGGCAGGACGACCTGGCAGCTTCAATAGAGCGGCATGTTTAGGAGAATGTGTTTGGTTGGTTGTAAGAGGGACGAGGTGCGCCACGTGTTAATGTATCATTGGTGCTCGAGTTGACTGCCTGAACTAGCTCGCAGGCTTCGCCACATTTTATGTAATTTACAAAAGCTTGCAAAACCCTGTAGGAGCGAGTTACAGTTCTCCCAAAGTGTCTTGAATGAAAATCGTATACTCTGAAATTGTTCCACGTCTAGATCTGGGTCTTTAAAGTAAGCCATCAAGCACAACATGGTGTCTTGATATAAGAAATAAGAAAGAGAGAGAGTCTTGTTGTTCCCTCTGGCAGCCTTTGAGTGCATTATCACGCTTATATAACAGCCACTTCTAAAATAAAACATTAAAGGAAAATCTGATTCCCTACACATCAAGTTAAAATCAAACAGTACATTCTGACATATGTGGCCTCCATGTTTACTTCAGTCAGACAGCAGAAAGTGTATTGTTCCTTTTTAACGTGGTACAGTTCAGCCGAGTTGACCCTGGAATCGGATTTTAGCCGCTTTTTAAACGTTGTTATCCAAACCAAATAAGTAAATAATCCCAACTGAGGACTTTGACATGCATTGTGACACTGACAACTGTCGATTATACATTTAAATCACCAATGTGCACTCTAAAGTTATCTGTAAACAGGACTGAAAGGTGTCGGGTAAAGTGGCTTTTGGACCAATATTCCTTTGAAATAGTCATTTGTTTTGCCATGTGCAAAGGACTTCTTGACAGGGCTTCTCCTAAATGTATTTCTGATTTATGTTAAAGAATGCTTAAGAGATTACAGTTAATTATTCAAGACTTTTGTGTTCTCTTATATCAAAACACATCTTAGCAGTATCAGCTTTTTTTTTTACGTATCAGCAGGGCCGTCCCTCCCTACAGGCCAATCATGCAGACTGCGTGGGGCCTCACCTTGCGGAGGGGGCCTCACCTTGCAGAGGGGGCTTCACCTTGCGGAGGGGGCCTCACCTTGCGGAGGGGGCCTCATCTTGCAGAGGGGGCTTCATCTTGCAGAGGGTGCCTCAACTGAGCCGAAAATGTGGCGCACCTATGCGCTTATGTGGCGCAATTAGTGAGGCGCGGCACGGTTTCGCCGCTGCGAGGCTCCACTAGCACCCCCCCGTCGACGCTCGTGAAACACAGGGCCTCATCATATAATTTTGCGTGGGGCCTCATGTTGGCCAGGGACGTCCCTGCGTATCAGTACAGACTCCATCCATACACGAGTATTAACTTATTAAATATGTTACAAACCAGTCTTATTTGATGCTGTATCTAAATGTACTGGATTACTTGACTGACCTTTTGTTAAGTAGGGCTACTGAAGGGCTGCCACAGGAGCTAAAACCCAAACAATGTGTAAAATGTTACTCTCATCATTCCCCAGGTTAAGAACATCTGGATTTTATTCACGAAAAATGTCCAAATATTGTTTTATCCATAAATTCACTCTGAGATCCTGTTTGTATTGGTCAGAGGGAACTGTTGCTGTATAGGAGACATTAATCCTGGGCAAAACATGAAGGGCAGACGCTGGTCGGCGACAATAAAACTTACATTTTCCATTGGATATTGTACATGGCCTTTTATGCTGGAGGGTTATACCCTTTGGATTATTGCTGCAATGGTTTCGGAGATTGAATCATTAAATATTAACAATGTGGGCAAAGACTGGTGGTGTTTTATTTCACACTCTTTCATACTACCGTCTGTTTTTAAGGGCAAAACATAGCATATTTCTACAGATTCACACAGAATACCACTAAGAAGTTGGTGGTTTGGGAAATTCTGCCAGTAACCATGTATCCATTCCTAAGCAAAACACACAGAAGACACAATAAATCCTGTTAGAAATCTCTCGTCTCAGGCAAATATTTGGTATTAAAGTGACTTGATGAGAATAGTCGGCAATAACTGAAATGTGTGGAAAGATGGGCTTACCCTCCTGACATGCAGACATTGCATGTTTATTTACAATTTCTGGATTTATAACCTCCACACATATCACTTGTACTTGTCGGCCTTGGCAAATGTCAGGTCTTATCCAAACGTCCCAGTTTTTTTGCTAAAGGGCAGATGGGTTATGCTGGTGACATTTGAATAAATAAGTGATCACTTTTTTGGCAGAAGCAGTACAAAAAAAGCACAGGCACAAATCCATGTGTTACTCTTGGTTTAACTAATTATTTCATAGCAGTTTAGGGGTGTATCAATGCAACCAGAACTAACCATATTATAGTGATATAGTGGATTATATACCATTTATGATTGGGTTTAATATAAATCTGACTGCATTTATTATAAGATCACTTTTATTCCCCTTTCACTAGGATATGAACTTTCCCCTATATTAAATTGACAAGCTATTTTAGGCACAAGAGCTATGGTATTACAGTAATTACCAGAAGATCAATGCTGTATCCACTTTGGACTAATCCTTAAACATAATTTGCATACTATCATGTCAAACCACTTTCATGCAGTCTGAAAGGATTTTTTTTTGTGTAAACCAAAACTGACAGTGTGTGAAGTTGCAGCCAAAGTGGCAGAGAGGAATTTAATCAGTCACACTAATAAAATAAAAAACAATATATCCCCTCTCCATGTAAATGTAGTTCCCCGAGGGTATTTCCAGAGGTTCCTCCGCTAATCCTGTATGTAAATTGCAGCCAATAGATGCTGTTGTTGAGTTGGGCTTGGATTAGCAGGAGGCGAATGAGTTTCAATTTTACTAGATTACAGAACAAAGAAAGGGGAAAGGGACACCCTGCTCTGTTAAAGGGAAAAACAGACATAAATTTAGATTAAATACATATATAGTAGACTGTAAAACGTGTCATTGAAGTCCACAGTGTGATGTTCCGGATTACGACGTTTTAGAGGACATTGTGGATGAGAATTGCGAGTGTTTCTGATGGATTAAAACGGGGGAATAAACCTATTCCGGGATTGACAGCAGCAACAAGGCTATTTAATCGCTAATTAAGGTGAGATTTCGCTATCCCTTTTAATATTCATGACGAGTTACATGGCTTGCTTTCATTATACGCGTAGTTTTGTATTACTGTGCATTCAGAAATTACAGATTATAACCTAATTTCTGGACTGGGGAGGAGGAGATGAAAGGAAAGTGCTAACGCTAGGTAGCCACAGAGCTAACGATAGTAAGCTAGCTAGTTAGCTAACCCAACGGTTATTATGATACCTTTAGCTAATTAGCCAGCGTTGATTAGTTTGACATAACGTTACGGTGAGTAGCGAAGAAAGGGTTATAGTTATTTAGGAGTTAAGTTAACCTCAGAGGTACGTCTCCATGTAACCTTGTGCTAGCCTGTGTTTATGATTAGGACACTGCTTGCTAAATTATACCCCATATATTGCTATCACTGATAAGGTTACCGAGCTACTACAACAAAGCCAGCTAGCTAACGTAGCAAGTGTAAAGAAAAACAACACATGTGAAGTTCAGAAAAGCTATTTTAATATAGAAAGCTTTAACTATAAGCCTTGCTGAGTTAATTACAGCCGTGTTACACCCTATTAAACTGCAGTAAACAATGGGTTACTCATTACGTTATTATTTATTACCAGTGGTGAGTAGTAACTAAGTACATTTACTGAAGTACTGTACTTTTACTGTACTTGAGTATTTGTTGTTACTTTGTACTTCTACCCCACTACAATTCAGAGGTAAAAAGTGTACTTTTACTCCATTGCATTTCAAAGATCCATAGGTTTTATTGTCATAAACACAGTATCTACAGTGTAGTTATGGACATCCTTCAACAATGCTACATAGATATATATATAAGACATAAACATTACAAATTGTGCAAAAAGAAACAGATAAGAAATAAAATAGTGCAAGAGAATGCTGCAAGTGAGAAGTAATCTATCCACATGTGTTTATTTAATATATATAGTTAGGCTACTGTGCAGATTTGGATTAATGTTGTGACATATAATCTTTAGTTACACCTGGAGGACAATTCACAAGCTACCCAAATGAATTAGCTCCACCTTTAATTATTTTTATAAGATACTTGAATGCATCAATAATTATAAACAAAACATTTACTGCTTATAATTCTTAAATGGGACAATCTGACAATCTTGCAATCTGCAATATTACAATACTTGTAACAGAGTATTCCTGCACTCTGGTGGTTCTACT